TAATGGAGATCTCAGAATGCCAGAGGCTCTGAATGAGGAAGCTACTGCCGAGCAGAAAGCAGAATATATTAGAGACCTGAAGATTTGGGATAAAGCGGACAGAGTTGCTAGTCAAGCATTGGTCAAAGCAATAGAACCCAAAATAATGGCATTACTGGTGACATGCAATACAGCAAGACAGATGTGGATAAAACTTCATAGTATATTTGAGCAACAGACCAAACAAGCTGCTCATGTAGTACAGGCGGAGTTCTTTAGTTTTACAATGAATGAGAAAGATGATATGGTAACTCATATTTCAAAGTTCGAAACTCTTATCTTGAAACTGAATGCACTGAATGTGAAACAAGATGACATGTCTTTAGTAGTAAAACTTCTGGATACGCTACCAGATAATTATGATAACTTACAGCAGGCATGGTGGGCCAGACCAGACGAACAACAAACGTTTAATAACCTGGTGAATGTACTAACATCCGAAGAATCGCGAAGAAAACAAAGACATCTACAAAGCGAGGCATCAGAAGAAAGTACAGGAGCACTACTAGCTGGTCGATATAGGAGCAAATCACAGATTTCACATAAAAAGAATACTACAAAAGGTGTAACTACAAAGAAAACGTTTACTTGTTATGGTTGCGGAGGCAAGAATCACATAAAACGAAATTGTCCCAATCGTAAACAGAAGTTTTACAACGAGGAATCTGGAGAAAACGCTTTCATTACGGAAGTCTTGAATGCGGAAAATGACGAAGATTTTTGGATTGTTGATTCGGGGGCCACTGATCATCTAACATATCATGGCGAGTGGTTCTCATCTTTTGAACAATTTAAGACACCAGTCAAGGTCCACATTGGAAACAAGACATCGATGGATGCGTTGGGAAAAGGCGTCGTAGAAGTTAAAACTTTTGTTGATGGTAAAATTTTTGATTTTCGAATGTTAAATGTTCTCTTTGTTCCAGCTGCTCGTAGAAATCTATGCTCGATGACAGCAGCTTTAGACAAAGGATACGAGTTCAAATCAAATCAAAAGGAGTGCTTTTTCGTCAGTGATGGAAAAACAAAAGCTAAGGGTAGACGAGTTGGCCAGTTATTCACAATGATAATGAAGGTGAAAGTACCAGAGAATAATTTATTACAATTAAGTAATACGAAAGAAACAAACGTGACTTCGAAATTGAAATCAATTCAAGAGTGGCATGAAATGCTCGGACATCAAAACAGAGTACAAGTCGAAAAAGTGTTAAACCGTAACGGAATCGAGTACACCAAACAAGATTTTTTTTGTGAAGCATGTGTAAAAGGTAAGCAGCATCGCAAGGTTTTTCAACTACGACAACAACGTGCTCAACGAGAAGGTGAAGTCATGAATGTTGATTTATGTGGTCCTATGGAAATCACTTCGTATGGAGGATCGAGATATTTTATCTGCTTTACATGCGATTACTCAAAATTCCGATTGATCAAATTTCTTAAGGAAAAATCAGAAACTACAAAAGGAATTGCTGAAGTCTTGAATTTTGTGAAAAATCAGTGCGGAAGACCACTAAAAATGTTGCGTTGCGACGGTGGAGGAGAATTTAACAACAAAGATGTGACAACGTTGTTAAAATCTGAAGGAGTAATCCTCAGTGTTTCAAATCCATATACCAGCGAGCAGAATGGATGTGCAGAACGCTCTAATCGCACTGTAGTCGAACTTGCAAGAACAATGTTAGCGGCGAAAGATTTACCTAAAGGATTGTGGGCCGAAGCAGTCAACACAGCTGTTTATCTGCTGAACAGAACGGGGCCTAGTAATGAAAATGGTAAATCACCTCTTGAAATATTCACGGGCAAGTCTTCACATTTAAACAAACTGCACGTTTTTGGTACTACATGTTTTGTACATAAGCCAAAACAAGTACGAAAGAAGTGGGACCAGAAATGTCAAAAAGGTATTTTTGTTGGCTATTCTGAAGAGATGGATGGTTTTCGTGTTTGGTTGAGTTCTACCAGGAAAATACTTCGTAGTAGAGATGTTGTATTTGAACCAGTAAATTGTACGGACCATTCTAATGAAGAGAAGAGCATATCAAAAATGATCACCTTTGACATTAACCTTGACGAGAAGCCAAATTACGTAGCAGAATATCCAGGAGAGAACATATTTGTTCGGGAAAAAGAAATAGAGCAGGTAGAAAATGAAAATATTGATGCTGAGAATGAATTGCAAGAATCGGAAGAAGATGGACAGAATCATGAAAATATTGATGTTGATGACAATGAATTGCGAGAATCGGAAGAAGAAGATGGACAGGATCAACCAAGATATAACTTTAGAAATCGAAGAAATCTTCATTGCACAAAACGATTAATTGAAACAATGACTGCTGAAGTGGATGAACCAAAGTCCTATCAAGAGGCAATTCAATCACCAGAAAGTAGATATTGGAAACCGGCAATGAAGGAAGAAATGCAATTACTGATAGAAAACCACACTTGGATTTTGGTTAATTTACCACAAAACCGAAAAGCCATTACAAATCGGTGGACATTTAAATTCAAAAAGAAAGTTGAAGAGAAAGTCTTATCAGTGAAACACATTACTAGTGAGAATCAATTAGGTGACATTTTAACGATAAACTAAAGATTTAGGAGGGAATGTTGAAATAAATATAGTTACCTATTCAATTTATTGTAACTATGATACGATAAAAAAATATTTAGTTCATCTGTCATAATTATACAATATACATGTTTTCAGTTTATTGCTCTAATAGTTTCAACATGTTTAAAATTAAAAAAATTACTTTTGCGGCCGTACCGCATTTAAATCATCAGCTTTTGCTTTGCATCCGTATACCGTTTCATTTCGCTTTCGCATTACAGCCAAATATGCACCCGTTCCAAAGAAAGCCAAAACGATTCCATCAGCCGGTAACGTCAGGGCGAGCATTTTATCCTCGAAGAAGCTAGCTCCCAGAACACAACCAGGACAATTCCCATGTCACAAGTCTCACGTAGTGATGTGAAATTGCTGAAATCTCAGCCGGACAGCCAGGCAAGCTACAAATTTTTCATCCCCTACGTATACCTATACAATTCTCAGCTAAATGATCGAATTACATTTGGATTTTCCATTTCCTCATCCAATCCTCGATCGATTTCAGGCTATTCTGCAAGATGCAATATCCGGGTTAGTATCTGATGCTAGTATGGCCGTATCATTAGCAAACGTAGCTGTAGTTGTTAGGTTGGTGGTGGTATGTCAGCTGTGTAGAGTGTATAAAGTACTGGCCCCAGTACACTGCCTTGAGGTACCCCGGAAGAAATAGGATACAAATCTGTTAATTTCTCTTCCTGCTTCACCAGGAACCACATGCATTCAAGGTAAGATTGAATAATTTCATAGAAATGGTACGGTACTTAGTCCTTGTTTTAGTTTATTATTTATTGGATTCCAGGTCGTTGTTTATTTTGTTGATAATTCTATGTACCTGTTCTGTGGTACTGTGTGGGCTTCTAAATCCAAACTGGTGGTTGGGTATAAGTTCTTTTTCCTCCAATATTGGCTTTAGTCGTTTTAGCAGTAGTTTTTTAAACAGATTGGATAGCACCGGAAAGAGACTTATGGGTCTATACGATTCTACACTATTTAAGTTCTTCACCGCCTTCGGGATCATCGTTATTTGAGCCACTTTCCATTGACTAGGAAGTATTTTATTTTCAGAATAGCATTGAATATAAATGTTATAACCTCGGTTATAACTCGCATGGATTTAGGGGTTATTTCTTGTAATACTTTGCCTGTGATTAAGTCTCACCCTGGTGCTTATTTATTTATAAATAAAATTAATTACTGATTGAGGTCATTTCTTGCCTTTTAACAAAAAAATTACATGACGCAAGTATCAAGGTTAACCAAATCACGCAAATGCTAATGTTATACCTACATTACTTCATTGTACGTAACCATAATTATAAACAAGTTGGGAAACTCCGTATATATAGATTGTTTTTTGAACATATAAGTAATGGAGCAAATTTGATATAAGACCGACCACATACACCACACAGAAAAAATTCTTATGTAAATTTCCCACGACCACAGAAAAGCAGTAATTATTGAACAACTTAAATCGTATCTATTAACAAATGACAGTCAAAATTTAATGTAGAGTTTCACATTTGTAATATTATTTATGGTAAAATGTTCAGAAAATAAGAAAAAATCTTGATGATAAATGGTACAAACGAACAATAATCTGGGTAATGGTTTAAAAAATGTACGTGAAGCATATAAGACAAAAATGTTCAAGAAGAACGATACCAGTTTTTAGCACGCCCCCCTCCCCCCACTCCCCCAACAATTAGTGAATGGACAAATTTACATCAAAGTGGTCAATGTTTTTCATTTTTCGTTTTTGTGTGTATGCCGTTGTTTAATTCAAAGATTGCACTAAAATAAGACCAAATTTCCAAACCTTAAGTCTAATCGCGAATATGCTGGTATGCATTTTATTTATGGAATATGATATTGAAATTCAGTTGCAGGACCTAAAACATACCTCTAGCCCGAGCTCTAGCCCTACAATGAAACATGCTTCTAGCAAGATGGAGCTCCTATTCATACAGCAAATCCAGTAAGTAACAACAGTAACGAATACTTTCAGTCTCTGGTGACCAGACTTGAGTCCGCTAAATTAAGTTCCATGAAAATTGAACCTAAATCTTTTTAAAGAATCTCTTACTGTTTATCTAAACGGAACGGCGGTTTCTGAATTAATTTAGTAGGTAACAGATAGTAACTGGTAAATCAAGCATTTTTTCTTAAAAACGTGTAGGTAAGCATTCAACAGAGGTATTCAATTTGGTGCAACAAGAAACGTTCCATAATTGTTTGTCACTTCGGTTGAACAATGATTTTTGACATGATAGGAAACGCGTACCTATGTACACTCTCATCAAAACTCACCTGGCGTAATTCATTCATTCATTCATTACTGCTCACTTACCTATTGTCAACAGGTTTAAAAAACGGCTGGTTTACAACCCCCATCACTGGAATCCCGGTCAGTTTATCAAAAACTCCAATAAGTACTGTGACACATTTCAATCCATTAACGCAAATCCCAGACACTCCAACCACCTCTTTGGCGTGAATATATTCCGCCGTTGAATCTAAAGCACAACCATTCGAAATATAAAGCAACAGGCAATGTAGCGATTGTAGGTATACCAACCTATAGGATCAATCCAGATTCCCAACTGTCCATAATCCAACGCAACATCTTTCGGAATGTTGTCTAAATAAACATCAATCTCCTTCAGTGAAATATTTCTGTGCACTTCTTCAGCTAATAACCGCGCGGCTACATCGGCGCCATTCAAAACGGTCTGAAGCAAATTTGCAGTGGAAGTTACATCAGGTTGGATTTGCACAACAATCTTTTCGCCAATTGTATTGCAAAACACGTTGTCTTCTTCTCCTTTTATACTCTCTTTCAGTTCTGGAAACTGTACTTTAAAAGTAGGTATATAAAATTAACTTCAGCTTTTGGGTTCGCTTACTTGTAGCCCTATATCGTATTTTACTGTTTCTTGAATAAGTACATCGGCTAAAGTTTTAAAATCTTGTACAAATCGAGGATTTGATTCGCTGCTAGATTTTTCTTCCACTAGCAATTCAAACAAATGCTGTTCCTGTCGGCACAGGCGCGCTATATTCGCCGCTTTTTCGGACACATTTATTAAAGCCTCCAGAAGTGACATCGTTGTGCGAATGTGTTATACTAAAACAAATTTCAGCGCGTACGTTTATAAAGTTTCACCCGCGGTTTCAATAGCATTATTTAATCGCACAACGCCCATATCGCGGTACGCGCTCACGATCAATGAATGTTTCACACTTAATTCCGTAACGCGATCGTTCCCGATTCTATGGACTCGTTTAGAATTTCGCGCTGTTCTACCAATACGAACTTTAAACTGAGAAACGTTTATTTCATATCATTTATTTCATACTGTCCGGTATATGTTCGATTACACTATCATTTTGAGTCCGGTAGGTGTTATTACAGCATCAGAGCCGGTAAGTGTCGCTAAGCAACACTTACCGGACTGTTATTTGTAAATTTGTATACATCAAATTTGACAACCTCACACAATTAATTAAAAACCCCAACATAAATTTGGCTGTAATTCTTTATTTCAAACATTAACATTGATAGTGCAGCGGAGAGCCGGCGCTAACTCGCTTATTTGAGGTCGTTTTTTTTCGGAGTAGAAAGAATTGAGACCCACACCATTTTGTTCAGAAATGTTTGAACCTTCAGAATCTCGCTTTACGACATTTTCCCGTGGTCCTGACAAAAGTTATAGGTCGCTAAAGTTGAACTTTACTCATTTTCGCGCGCGCGAATAGACCACCGAAAGTATTTATTTTCTCAGCAACTAAGCATATACATCAATAATTCCTTTTGTAAAATGAAAGTACATTTATAGCAGAATCTAAAGCATTCATATTTACCTACCTTGTTATGCACAGTTTTTACAAAAATGACCGTCAACTTCCAAAATTCGTATAGCAGAATATGAAAAGTGCGCACTTTGAACTATAATAACTTTTTATTTCACGATATCGATTTCCAATATTCATAGCTCATTCGATGCTCCAAAGCATTGTGATTATTTTATTTCCTATAACATTACCGTGAATTTTTCATAATAAAAAAGTTAGTAAAAACCTACCGACCTCACCGAGTCGAGAGTTGGTGGAATACAGGGTGTTACATATAAGTATGTAAAAAATTTGGGTGGTAACTGGTAAAGTTGACAAAAACAAGCATTTTTTCCAAATAAACCGAGGGTCCAACGTATTTCGTTTAGGAGCCACCCTCAAAAAAGTGGCAAAGTTTCCATTTCTCCTTTAATTTTTTTCTCAGTAACCATATAAAAGTTACAGAGACTGGTGGTAAGTCTTTGAATAGGTTTTGCTGTATGCCCTTACCGGTTTTGCAAATTATTTTTTGCACTCCTTCGTTCTAAATCGCGTTTTCCCAATCAAACACGAACGTCGGGAACGTCAATTTTATAATTGACTATCTACTTTCGCGCACTAGTGCCTAAAAATTCAACGAAATTATCTATTTAGTGCGGATCATAAACTAATAAGTAGTATGATGGAAGAGTAAAAAAGAAAATATAAATACACTTTACATCATTCCCTGTAGTACACGGGCAAAAATAAGCTTAAACCAGAAGTTTTTAACAATAAATTGACATTTTAAATTTCTACTTTATCGGCATAGAGGACTTGATTTTTTCAATAGTATTTGTCGCAAAAATCTCGCGAAAAGGATTTGAATTTATATAAATTCGATTTAACTAATCCGTGCAAAAAATAGAATACATGTTGCGTGCGTGAACAGTATTTAGTACGTGTAGTTAGCGTAAGTATATTTCACTTCCGGCAACAAGCATGAAATTTTGAAAATAGCTTTTAGACATATAGAGGTTGAGAAAAACGCCGGGAGACACTTCGAGCGATGACCTTGACCTCCGTGGTGACGTCATCCAGTAGGATATCTCGGCAACCAATAACCCGAACGGAATGGGGTTAGTTTCATTTGAAAGCTCATAAAACGTACTTTAAAGAGTATTCTAATACATTTTATCATAAGTCTTATGGTTTCTGATTTATACAGCTTTAAAGTAGAAAAACAAAAATTAGACAAATAGTTAATTTGTTTTAATGATATTGTGAGTACACAATTAAAACCTAACTACAAAATTATAATTATAAATTATATGTGTTTGTAGGCTAGTTACTATGGTAACGACTTGCTCAAGCGCTACATTGACCTTCACAGGTGCAAAGTAAGGTACAACTGAATCCAGCCTTTCTGCAACGGCATCTTGTGCAGTTTGTTTTGCACTTACATGCTATCAGTTCTTGCATCTTGTCCATCGTTAAACCCGGTTTTGAAGACCATTGGGGTTCGTATACTTCGTGGTTTTTGCTCCACCCCCACTGACAAGGCTCTGGATTGGCGACTTCATTTTTAAGGCAATTTCTCCAGATGAAACATTGCAGCATGGCCCTCTTGAGGTGATAGAATAGGACGTCACACGTTGGTGGTATATTCTCTATATTTCTATTAAATTGAGTGAAGAGAATTCGTCTGGCCTCGTTCACAGTGCCGACGGAAGAGGAGGCTTGATACAGCAACACGACGTACCGCTGAAGAGTGGAAAAGGAATTATTATCTTGAGTGATGTCTTGTGGCATCTTCGAATATTCTTCGAAAGCTGCATCAACTTCTCGAAACGACATCCCTGTTTTCCAGGCACTAATTTTACCAACGCCAGCGAAACTTGATACAGTGTCTGCTCCGGTAAAAGAGTGGAAGAATGGAAGCAAGTCTGCCACGCCAGTTGGAAGCTTATTATGAATTTCATGTATTGGTAGGTACTGCAGATTGTTTCCAGTCCCATATTCAATCCATAATTCGGAAACGCTTAATCGTTGAAAAGCATAAACTGCGATTACAACAACATCGCTGTCCACGGTTTTTATCATGATTCGCGAATGACCTGCAGTTGTACAAGCATGAGACGCATGGAGTAAAAGGCGGGCGTCAGCTTCTTCATGAAATGTTGTAAAAAGTGAACTGTAATACGGGTTTTTGCTGGAACTCAGCACTATTTCCTTACACGAGCAAACGATGTCTTTATCCCCGGCAATGTCAATATTCACAAGCATTTTTGCCAAAAAAACAAAAAGTTGTTCTTTGTTAGAGTCATTTGCTAAAAATTTGCTAAACGACTTTGGTATGGTTACATTTGGTCTGACGTCTACTCTGGGTCCACAACCTCTTGCCTCTCTCGTGCCAGACTTAAGGCTTCTTGGAAGATAACAATCGAATACAATATCAACCCGATCTACGGCCTTAAGCTTTGCGAGAATGTAGGGTCCGCTTGTTGATTTTGCGCCCTCTTATGACTCCTCACTTGCTTCCACAGCGACCAGATCTGGTGAAGTTAATTTCGTCAGAATTTTTTCATCTTCAAGAAGTGTTGCGTGCTCCAGAATACTTGGACCTATACCAAGAGTAGACGCTGATGTAAGAGGCCTATTCTGATTGGGAGAATCACCCTGTGCGTGTTCTTCTAAGCTTGGTTTGTGCGTGTTCTTCTAAGCTTGGTTTTTTCTTTTGCAAAAGTCTGGCTATTTTTTGACTGTTAAAACGAGTTCTGCACACTTTATGATACTTTGCATTGTTCGATTTCAAATCTTGGAGCAAACTTTCCGTTTTAAGGTAAGACGGGAGGTCACCTAACTCTGCTTACCTTCGAAGGTTTTGAGAAAGGGAGTCGTAGCCACTATCAGTAGGAGAAATTAAAGGATCCTTCGTGGACTGTTGGCAAAGGACACACCTATCCCATTTTATCACCGGTTTGAACCCCTGATCAACGAAATCAAGTTGCCTCTTCGAGGCCATTTCAGGTATTTGAACCAGTCTGCAATAATGAAAAAAAAAGCGGAAGTTGATATCAAATTTCTGAAACAATCTATTTAACCCTTTAGTGGTAATAATGATCGGGGCATTGAAAAGGGTAGAAGCATGAATATCACTAAATTCCATAAATAGTACTTATTAAAATCCTTAGCGGTTAACTTATTTGCAGCGTTCAGGAATAACTTTAATTTCGAAAAAAAAATGATTCTAATTTGAATTTAGACAATTTCTATTACCCTCTATAAATTTGTAAACGTGATAACATTTTTGCGCTGAACATTTTAGGTTAAGCATTATTTGTTGTTTCATTCATTAATTGGCCAATTTTAACGTTATTAGGCATCTTAAATCACATTAGAATACTTAATACAATTACCTATCCAAAAATTGATTCGGTGTGTAAAAAAACCACACAACCAGCAAAATTAACTACACAACAACCACCACCACTGCACACTGTAGCGCTGTCGAGTGTCCGCAAAATCGCAACTCACTACTAATCGGAGTAAAATGTAGAGTCCGCTCACTTTGAAGGCTCAAATCTCAAAATCGCTGGAGCCGATATTAATGAAATTTTTGGAACGTATCAATTGGTAAGTTGTTGTTAACATACGTAAATTGTAAATTTTGGCTGCCAGGACTTTTTACGTTATCGAATTTTCCTCACAAAAAAGTACTCTAAAATGCGTGATTTGTCGCGATGCTCAACTGTACAGGTCCATAAATAGTTTATTTTTCCACGAAAATTCATACATTTCGGGTATTACATAACCCAATTCTTGCTGTAGCTATTGTAGAAAAAATTATGGAAATATCTTGTTCCCTTTTTGCGTAATTAGCGGAAAAGCAAAAACATTGCAACGCAGCTATTATTGAAGGAAACGACTTCATTCTTTTTTTATAAGATGAATAAAATAGCAAACGCCATAAATGCGTACATATTATCTGAAAACAACTTGTGGATGTTTGTTTTTGTGTAATTAGCCAATACTCTACGTACGAAACAAGATGAATAATAACCGGCGGTTTTCATGTGTGGATATGCGGCAAACATAATAACCATTGAGTTAGAAAACTAATGGAGGGAATCAAATGCTTGGCCAGACGTAGACCACGGGAACCAAAAGTGGCCTCTAGCTGTGATTAAAGTACCACACCACTTCCGTTATCATTAGCGTCTCACTTCAGTGGCGTAGAGATATAATTTTCTTTCCACTAATAGGAATAATAACAAAAAAAACGTATAGAAGGAGTAAAATACATGCTCGTGGTAAAGTAAACAAAATAGACAAGGATGGGAAAGTATGCAGATTTAATATAATCATTGTTTACAAATCTAAATATACATCGATGTGTTCCAGTAGTATAATTAAGCCATTAAGGCCAGTTTACTATAGCCACTACAACTTGACAACTCCCATTAAATTCACTGTGTTGATCAATAGCTACAATTGATTGGTTGGTCTCAGGTTCATTACAACGGCAGAGAGATTCAATAATAATTTATTGTTTATTGGTCTCAAAATGTATCCGCACTCGTAAAAAAACTTACACCTGATATCCATATTATAAACTCACACGTTTAGCTGTAAAAACAAGTTTTGATAGTACCTACTGCATATTTGATAAACATTTTCCGGTGCAACCTTTGGTCGAAATCACAGTCAATGAAGCGTTGTGAGCACAAAAGTAAATTTCGAGAGCTGTTCTTGAGATATATTTACAAATGTAATATTACCATTTTGCTCGAAGTACCGGTTCGTTTGGAAAACTAAGAAACATAAACTAGGTACCTACAACCTCGCCTACAACATGATAAATGACATGTCTTACCGATGAAAGGAAATGCCCTGTTTCTTCCCTTTATGAGAAATTTTGCATGATACGCAGCTAATCATTCTCAATTCACAAATTGCGTGTGATAAAAACACTATGCGGCAGTTAGTTGTTTATATAAACCAGAGCACAAACCGATCCGAAATTATTAGGTACTTTAAAATGGCAAATTTAATAAAATTTGAATTTGGTGGAAAATTGACAGTGACAGGACCCGCGTTTTCATATGTCAAATAATGTCGGCCAAAATGTACCTTCACGGGAACCTATCCACGCGAGTGGCCTCTATCTGTGGCAATTTCCGTCTACAAAAATTCTTACCCCCTCTACCATTATATTCCCTCCATTAGTTTTCTAACTCAATGATAATAACAATTTCATGCATATATTACTTAACAGTGTACTTAGCGTGTGTGCCGCTTTATACGAAACGTTGCTGCAAGGTACAACTTTGCGATTAAATGACCTTCCCCCCAACTCCGCTCGAGATGTTGCGTTTATCTCTTTCGCTCAAAATATATTAATTCCTGCAGCCCTTCACATTTTTTTGTCATTGATTCTATTCCGTGATCATATCATTTGTAATTGTCCTTTATCGATATGAACAAAACTTTTTGAAGTGTATCTTATAATAAGCGAATAAACGCGTCTGTCATTTTATCGCTGTAACGTTTGCGTAATTATACAGAAATGCATAAAAATGTATCGACGTATAGTTAAAGGTGTATTCTATCACATACGTAAACATTATCCCATTTGAGTGAATACTTTTTTTGTAATTAAATCCTAAAGTTCTGAGTTCGTATACTTTCATTGAAAAAGCGCGCTTTCCCGTACATATTTCACTATCACATTTTCCCAAATTTAACAAGAAATATGACATTACGTACGGATACGTAGCAATAGTTGACGATTATATTACGCTTTATTTGATAAAAATCGGTTAGGTAGTTTTTTTTTTATAACCGTTTAAAGCCAGCGGACTCTACATTTTACTCCGATTAGTACTCAGTACTTGCGGTAGTCCGAGTCCACGCGGTACTTTGGAGCAAATAGGATTGAAACCATAAGAGTTACGATAAAATGTATTATGTAGTATTACTTTTTAGAGTACTCTTTAAGAGCTTTCAAATGAAATCAACCCCATTGAATTCGGGTTATTTGTTGTCAAAATATCCTACTTCAGTGAATTTTACTTGGATGACGTCACCACGGTGGTCAAGGTCATCGCTCGAAGTGTCTCCCGGCGTTTTTTTCAATATCTATATGTATAAAAGCTATGTGCAAAGTTTCATGCTTGTTGCCGGAAGTGAAATATTTCTGTGCTTTTTGTCGCTTATTACACGTACTAATTTGCTTGATTCGCGCTCATCTGCAAAATAACTGTTCCCGCACTAATAATGTAAATAACTAATTCCCCACCCATATGGGTAAGTAAAGTATTGTTTTCATTACAGAAAAAAGTCCGTTGTCGTTGTCCGGGTTGTTTTTAGCACGATAACTCAAAATTGAATGCGACAAATTGCGTGTATTTTTTCAGTCCTTACCGCGTGGAGACTGCACCAATTAATTTCCAGATTGGTAGGCCGTATTCTTCTGCGCATGCGCAAAAGTAACTGTTACTTATGGACCAATCTTACTGAAATTTTAACATTAGCCTCCTTTACTAAAGGCAAATCATAACGGGCAAATGCTTTGAAAGAATTATCTGAAATTTTTTTACTTTCATTTCTAATTCATAGTCTATTCTGACCATTCCATGCTATAGTAGTTTATTTTAGAGATTTTAGTCCATAAAACAATAACTTCAAGGCAGTATTTTATTATTATTAATGGAAAAAAGAAATTTTCCTTTCAAGCGACTATGAGGTGGCGCCGCCTAACGAAGGTAACCAAAAGTAAGTGCTAAGTGGTCGCCATTAGGGATACAAAGAGAAACAGCGGCGCATAGACTAATTGATTAATCAATTTGATTAATTAATTAAATGATTAATAAATTATTTGGATCAAATATACGCCGCTGGTTATTACAAATTTCTGCTTTTCAGCGTAAGGGCGAACTTCAATGAAAATATGCTAACTACAGTTTATGTAGGAAATTTTCGTCTCTTTAATTTTGCTCACCATATACTTTCTCGTAAAATGCACAGTTTTGGTGATATCGGCGGAAAACCGCTTTTGACGGCCATCTTGGCAAGATGGCGGCCCCGGCAACAAGTTTCGAATTGTGCATTTCATGAATTTTACTTCTACGTACTCAAGCACACAAAAATTCAGTACTTCCCGAGATATTTCCAGATAAAAATCCTCAATGACTGGCCTATTAGCAAAACCTCTAAAAATCGAAATAATTTCCAAACGGTATGTTTTGCTGGCAAACTTTTTACGGCACAAACCGGCACAAACGAAGCACTAACCAATCCACCTAGTCCCGAGATTTGTGCTGACAAAAGTGTGCGAAGTTAGCAGAATATCTAAAAATCGAAATAATTTCCAAACGATATGTTTTGCTGGCAAACTTTTTACGGCACAAACCGGCACAAACGTAGCACTAACCAATCCACCTAGTCTCGACATTTGTGCCGTCAATGTTCTGCTAACTTCTCGGACCCCTTGTTAGTGCGAACTCCCGTTACAGTGTGTATTCGGCTAAATATTCGATCGGATTTGATGTTTTTATACTTCTCGATTTTGACTGTTATTAGTTGTTATTGGGTTTATTTTAACATGTCATTTAACATGCTAATTAATGTTTTTTATGTACATGTAATTTATCATTTTACGAGTTGTTTTACCTAAATTGATCGTAGATGTGTTTTTGTAAAACATGGATTTATCTTGTTTTCAATTTGTTTGGTTCTGGAACCAAACCTTGTGCGTAACAAAGTTAATTTTTGTCATTCTTTTAAGTGCTTCGTACCAGCCAGTCCGAGCCCACTGCTACCGAGATTTGAAATTGGCTCGAAACTTCTGTCATTTTAACATGAACGTTAGATGACGCTGCTTGTAATTTTTCCCAGAATTTTCAACTGTGGGTATAGGGTAAGTTAACATTGCAGCACTGTGTTGAGGACTCGTAAGATAATCATACTGTACAACAAAACCAAACAAACTAAACATAAGTTTGTGTAACACCCCGTATAATAGTTAAGTAAGAACTATTAGGTCAAATTGGAAATTTATAACTGTCATGTCAAATGGTAGAAATTCGTGTGTGTGAAATTATGACCATGTTCTTCAAATAATTATTTTTGTAATTAATATTGAACTGCAACTATAGTTAACCGGTATGGCGTTATGCTTGAAATTAGTGACATGCAAGGCATTTAACACTAACACATTTTTCAATCAACTAAGACTTTGCAATTCCATTCCTGTTTCTGTGGAGCAATGTTCACAGGTAAAAACATTTATTTACATAAATTCGCTTACATAGTTTTCGAAAATGTGTTACTTATTTTGATTTCCTTCATAGCAAAATACCTAACCTTCAAACTGTATTTTCAGCTTTCGACATCAATAAAGCACAATTATTACACAGCGAGGGAACCACAAAACAACCCTCTTCAAATAAATGAATATTGTCAACATTTTGAATCTAGTTCAATAGATTATGATGCAACAACAGTTGCACGGTGGAAAAATATGGTACTGCCGTCAGCTTATGTAATTCGAAACGACCCAAACAGAAACTATCAATTTCATAAGCCCGTTATAAGATATAGTACCAAAATACAACCTAAATTAGAACAAGTTTTGGAATCAGATACGAAAGCTACACCTGTTGATAATAATCCCGATTCGAATAATAAGCCATCTCCTGAGAAGTTGGCTCATGTATATAAAGTATTATCTGAAACGCTACCAAAAATTTTTATCAACAGTTTAAATTATGACATCTATCATTCAAACATTATTTTTGAAAATAATATATTAGGTAAAAGAACTGTGTATGTGAGTATCTCTTTTTTATTCTATTTGTCATAGTTTTCTTTCAGAGGTTTGTATGAATATATTAAGCAAGTCGCTCTATTGCGTACAGTTGGACATTTCAAATATGCTTATGTGACTTTTAACATTTTAAAGATTACTAAACATCCCGAAGATTCTACTATAAAAGTACGCTGGACGATTAGAGGGATTTCGGGTCTTAAAGTCATGTTTCTATTTTGGAAATATAAACTGTGGAATTATAAGGAGATGCTTAACAAAACTGAAACGTAAGTTGTAGTAGACCATAAGCCTGAATAATTACGTGGATTGTTTTTGATTGGTATGTCAACTATCCTAAGCTTACTACTTTTCAAGATACCTGAAAAAATGTTGTTGCATTTTTAGCTATTGCTAAAAGCTTGTGATAAGCTCGCATCCAAAATTTACCATGAGACAAAGTAATCAAGGGGGTACATCTTGACTTAGGATTTCGTAGGATGTATCATGTTATAGGCATGGGTATTTTATGTCATACAAAAACATTACTTCTCTATTTAAAATAGGTTAGGGTAGTCTGTTAAATTTACATAACAGATTATTGTTATTAGTAATGGACATAATACATCCTAAGGCTGCAGAATAACATTTTTACATTAATGAAAGTTGAACTGTCACTAATCAAAAGGGTGAGAGGAGTAAAGATCTTAATGTATAGAGATAAAAGGAAAAGATTTGTTGTTATTCAGAGTGAAGGTGAGGTTTGATTAAGAGGATTGGATATCCCAATGATACGATGCGATTTTTGCTATATCTTTGTTATTTTTAATTTTTAATTCGACAATGTAATTCTAATTTATTAGTAAACGGGGCTATTTCATTAAATTTAAAAATTTAAATTTGTGTTGTTAGAAATCATTATTTTGAACAATTTAAATAGCGCCGTTTACATATACCTTTGTTTATTCATTTAGTGTTCCACCCAAGTGACTGATAAGTGCTGCCACTGCCACACCCTGTTAAATTGTGGTACTATCTGATTATTCAATTGGTTTGCGTATACTCTAATTTAAAGGGTCTCTGCCATGGGAAATTTTGTGTGGAACACTGATTATATAATAAATGGGGGGACATTTTTTACCCCAATGCAATACATCTCTTACTAATGTGCGGGTGGTAAAAATATGGCAGTTCAACAGATTTTTCAGGAACTGTTTGGGAATATTATTAATTTAAATTTAAAGGCGAGAAAGAACAGTCGCACACAGATTACGCCTACACCAAGGCGGTAGGTAAAGCGACAAACACACAATACAGAAACCCATTGTTCTAATAGCGCGCTCGTAATTCATATTATTTCTTCTGCGGACAAAAGTACAATTTTTACCCTTCGCGTGCAGTGGTTGTTCGAAGTACGCCAAGTGTAGATACGTTAAAAATCGCAGATTATGAGTGTAATAAGTAAGGAATAAGCAGCAGTTCTTTTAGATCATAATGAAAAAAGTAAAACAAGAAGAAAAGAGATATCGAGTAGAGGAGTGGTAGGTATAAAAAACGAGATGCCAATCATATTCATCTATTAAAAGAAATCAATGTAAATCACTCTGATGATTGCCAAATTTACTTCCGGATGCATATGCCAACATTTAATATACTTATTGTTGGAATTAAATTCGTTAAAATACCTAAAATACAATATAATGAATATATTGTGTCTTATTTCGAACCTTGTATTCATGCTCGTAATCAAACTACACATTGCAACTTTAAGCGCGCACAGCTTCGCGCCGCGCCAAGTTTTCCGGCATTCGAAAACATCAACACAAGCCAAGTTGCAACAAGGTGCTGCTTGTCTGGTCCCTTCACGTTTGAGCTTTGCATGAATTCATGTTGAGCAATGTTCGTACAGGCAAAGCTCGGAGCGAAGTGCATACGTGAAGGGCTGCCTTTACGAACGATAGATTGTATGTTTTTTTTTCTTAACAAAAACTGAAATCCAATGTTTGACACGCTGAAATTAAATTAAATGTATCCATGTTTAACAGCGGCTTTGCACTTATAGTATCTATTTTCAGATGGTATGATGGTTTCTCAACATTTTATGTTAATGGCGATGGAAAAATCATAAAACATATTGCAGATAAGGTAACTAACAAGTTTTAATCTATTTCTATATTGTTTTAAAGTTAAAAAGAAAAGACTGTGGAGGTCATACAGAAAGTGTTCTGGCAGTATTGGATGTGTAAATATACAGTGTGTTCCAACTAATGTTAAGTGAACTGTGAGGAAACATGTACAGAAATAACAGGCGTTTAATAACTTTTGAAAAAAAAACGTGTTAAGTTAAACACAAAAACTGTGGGACACAGACCATCTGACCAGAACAATTGCTGCATGAAAAACCTCCCTAGTCATTTTGATCACAATCGTACCCTTAAACTTTTTCCATTAATTGTATGTTATTGTTGTTTTTTTCCGTTAGATGATGCCAGATATGGATCGGGAACAAGCTTCTGATAGGGTTACTCCAATAGATGCTGCAAAGTTAGCGTTAATTGTTGGTATAATTCCTAGGTTTGCTGACATTAATTGTATATTATGAGTAAATGTACCTTAGCACATTAATTTATTGCAGTTTTATTTTGTAAGTATTAGTTGATGTTTCTTAATTTATATGTAATAGTTCTGAGCAATTGGTTAGCCAACATTGTGATACATAAATTATCTTTATGTACATATTTACGTTAGTAAATAATTACTGTTTACAAACCTTTCAATATTTACTGTCCCAACGCCAGAGCCACTTCATTTTTAAAATCCTATCTTCCTCCCCTGTGCATAATCGTTATTTTTTTGTTATTTGCGACATTTTCAATTAACTACATTCGAAATTAGATCATTCACTAGTAGGCGGGGGACATTTTGTAACCCGAAAGCCCAATCTTCAAATGAGTATAACTTTTGTTTGAAAAGTAATTTAAAAAAACTGTTTGACAATTTTGTTCCTTAACTCAACAAGTATACAGACAACAAATTTCGTGGAATTTTCTCCATTTTCGTTGTCCGGCCAAGAATTGCTTTTTTTCGAATTTTGAAAAACTAATTCCGGATTCGTGATTTTCATGTTCAAAAACCCCCAGATACCAAATTTCGTGGAAATCAGAATTTTTTTCCCACCCCCAAACAAGTGTGCGCCTTTCGTGGTACGAATTTTGAAAAATTTTTATCAAAATCGGTTAGCGCGTACCCGAAAACCTATTCAAAGACGTGCCACCATCTTTGTAACTCTTATGGTTGCTGAGAAAAACATTAAAGAAGAAATCCAAATTTCACCACTTCTTTGGGGGTGGTTCCCAAACGAAACACGTTGGACCATTGGTTTATTTGGAAAAAGTGCTTGTCTACTCTTGATCCCCTCTATCACCCAATTTTTTTTACATGCGGCATTGTTAAACAATGCATGCGGTCATGTAACACCCTGTATAATTAATTTGCTCTTTAATTTCTTAATGCAGATTTATTATTCAATGTTGCTAGTCAGGGAGACATTTCTGAAAAAGACTCTCTAAATCATGTCTAACAGCGTTTTGTGCTACAAACGGGCAACAGGCGGTTTTAGATTAATTTGACCCCTCTGAAAACGATGCACCCTGTTGCCAGACCTGATTTTGGCATTTAAGCCCTTCAATCCAAGATGGCGACTGAAATTGCCGCTTTTCGGTTATTTTGAGCCCGCAAGGTACGCCACTGAACGTTTTGGGTATATGCAGATGTGTTGCACACTGACTCCCTCGGTACTGCGCAAACGCGCTTATATTTGAATTTGCTTTAACGCACTCTAAAGCCTTCGATCATCACTGTGAATTCTACACCTACTTACAATAGGTAAGCTAAATTATCTTCAATTATAACGTTTGCGGGTTATGTGTATTATTTACCCCTATTTTAGACAGTTGTACGCAAATTCAAATTTTAGCGCAGTACCCAGGAAGTCAGTGTGCAACACATCTGAAAGTATAAGTTACGGGTAGAATAACATCTAGTACACACGAAGACACACCAGTTAGGCACACTTTCGTATTCATAATAGGAGCCTAAATGCAAAAATGCCGCTTAAAAACGTCAGAAATGCAAAAAAAATTCGTCAATTTTGTCTATTTGACCTGTTCTCGATGCCCAATATCTATTTGTATCGCCAGGAGCTCGTTAATAATTTAGATATATGGCATCAGGCATTTGACAAATTACCATCCAGAACAAAACATTTTATTTTCAAATGATACTATTTCTTTTAACAAGTTATTTACATAAATGAAAAAATGAATCAATTTAATCTTTCATGTTCTACCAGCAACAAATGAATACAATAAAATTGATTTACAACTAATAACTTCAGAACTGATCTTACAATTTATCACAATGTAACATAAATTAACCCTAACAAGTTTCATGGTACAACATACAATACCATGTCATAGCAAGTAAGTATCGTTTACAAACTATTCCATTAATCTAATTAAAGTTTTAGTGATTGTTCCTTCATGTACTATCTGCTAATGAAGTGGTAACCTACTAGGTCATAGCCATATTTGCACTTTTAGATTTAGAAGTAAATAATACTGCCACATGTGATACACCAGCACATAAATACAAATATGGGAAACAATTATAATATGAAGAATGAGAGGAGAGTTTAATCCCAATGGTGGTTCCAAATTCACTACATTACTACAGTATACACACACGTAAAATGGGGTTTTCATATAATCTACATTTGAGGAATGTAATGATCAATATTGAAATTGCCCACATGAAAGATATACTCTGTGAAAACAAATTCAATAAATCACCTAAACAAAAATTCAACAAATTATATACAAATTACTACAAATAAGAAAACAGCTTAGTTGTCCTTCTTCATTCTTGTGCTAGTCATACGATAAATAATGGAATCACGACCTGGATCCATGTCGCCAATAGCCATTGATATTGCTATTAAAGTGAATACCATTACAACTCCAAACCATAATATAATGTTAAACATAACAGGATAATTTGCGTTGTATGTTTTTGCTCTGTTATATTCATCCTAAAAATAAATCATTCATCTAAAATGACCACAGTTGTAAAGATTTTTACCTTATCATTTTCTGCCTTTGATTCCGCTGGTGGAACTTCACGAGCGCGTCTTGTGTGACTTGCATCACTTGTAACAACAGTAAACAAAATTCTCTCCTTATAGACTTTTTTAAGGGCGTCATTCAAACGATTAGCTGCATCGATCAAGAGTTGCTTACCTTCTTTTGTGGCTGCCGCATTTTCACCATATAAATCAGAAATGGTATGTAAACCAAAACACTTGATGTTAAAGTAATCAGGTTTATCATTAGAAGTAAGTGCTCCACTTGCGATCTACAACAAGAACATTTTAAGAAAACAACATTCCTAATGATTAAATAATACTAATGATATGCCTTTATTCCGACACGGAAGACATGCCATAAAAAATTAATATTAATAGGGTTTTGTCCGTCACTTCGTGCATGTGAGAGATGAGATCTCATAACTAGAAAGTAGTAGAGAGCTAGTGAGTCTTGCTTGATAAAATATAGGCCCTCATTAATGCATAAAAAAAATTTGCTAACTAGCTCAATACGATATTCAAATTTGAACAAAGTGTTAATTTATTCACTATTTCCGTTTACATCAATTTCACCCTAACGGGAAACTATGTAACTATGTGGCGACCGTAATATGTGTAATCTTCTTATCAACATAATGGATCTGACATAGCATACGTAATATTTATATATGCGTATTTCCCATGATTTAGTAGTTGCCCAGCCAAAATGTACAAAATTTAGATGTTATTTTGCCTCTACATACACTCCACACCATTCATTTATTGTACAGTTATTAATTGGCTCCAGTGATCATGTATTTTCTAAAAGGAAATAATGAGCGATCCGAATTCCATAATTTACAATAAAAGTGCCAAAATGTTATGCGAGGGAAGTTAATGATCCATATCGACCGACGACTCTGGGCGTGTCTATATTAACTATTTTCTTCTACAATTTGCTTAAAAGGGAATTTTAGGCAGATGTATGTGATAGTTGGAATTTTGTGTTTAGAAAAGTTACGGTGGCTGTTTCTACAATTACATAGATGATGTATTTCTTTTGTCATTCGTTTATTGCATCTGTACAGTAATATGATTGTGTTAGATTACTAGGCAAATTAACGACATTCTACAGATTCATTAGCTAAATGCGAGTGCAGCATGGATATTGTCATTTACAGCTAATTAGTAATAAAACACACGGACTGCTATTAGCCCTATGCTTTCAATACAAAATGGGTGGTCACGGATAGAGAGCACTGTAGTCGTGTGTATGCGAATCTCAGGATAAACTAAAGTCGTAAGAACACCACTCGGATTGCGTAAAGAGTAGCTTTTATGGTAACCGCGTAGTACGGGAAGCTTTAAATACTCTTGATTATCGTCTATACGTCCACAAATAAGAACAGGTTTGCTTTTTTTGCCATATCTATAATAGACGATTAATTAATTGACATTTGTTAATTTATAGGTTGACAGTCTCAAATCGTGTCTCATCGGACAGACTCGTTTACCCTGAAACTCACATACCCAGGCATGACCATATTTTAGTTACAATTAGCAGTCCATGTACTATATGGTCTAAGGTTTTTCTACAATCGATATCCAAAGTAGCCATTTGCGCTCGTATTGACAACGCAAACGTCATCTTTTTCAAGGAATGTCACCGACTAAAAAAAACGCTCACTCTCTCAATTATTAACTATAAATCAAATAGGCATTGCTCAGTGTATCCAATGACAATGAGTAAATGACATTTTTCATTTGAGTGAAAAATTTTAATTTTTGGAAATATGTGAACTGCTCGATCGTAGGCTACTTTATGCAGACTGATGCAATCAGCTCTTACAGTAACCGAAGAATGGTGTAGGGAACACTCCTTGTCCATCAACCCGACAAAAACGGAGCTAGTTCTCTTCGCAAGAAAAAGAATGATAGAGGGTATTCGAGCCCCCTGCTATTCCAAAAACACCTCCAATTTTCAGAGTCAGTGAAATATCTAGGAATCACACTCGACAAAAAACTGAATTGGAGCAAACATATCCAGCTTAAAGCCGAAAAAGCAAATAGGGCTTTCTGGCAAAGTCGCGGCGCTATTGGCAAACTTTGGGGACCATCCCCAAAGGCTGTCCTGTGGCTGTACACTGCCGTGATTAGACCTATGTTCTGTTATGGAGCAATTGTCTGGTGGCCTAGAACCAGACTCTCCACAACTGTAGCACTCCTTAATCATGTGCAAAGACTAGCGTGCCTTGCCTGCACAGGCGCGATGCGAACGACCCCCACAGCCGTCATGGAGGCCCTCTTGGATCTGCCTCCACTAGATCTCCACGTGAGAGAGCAGGCCATTCTGGTATTCCTGCGTCTGAAAAATAAGGGATTGTTGAATAGCAGAGGCATTGAGGGGGGCTACTCCCGAATTCTGGGCGAGGCGATCAAGCGACTGCCTATCCTAGAGGGAAGATCGGACTCACTCACTCCTCAATTCATATTAGGGAAAAACTATCACATCTTCTTTGATGAGAACATGGCATCCCAACCAGATATATTCATCTTCACGGATGGATCTAAGACAATGGAAGGAACAGGCACTGGTATTTACTCCAAAGAACTGAACTTCCATATCACCCAACCACTAGGTAAACTTCCTACTGTATTCCAGTCAGTTGGTAGGATTAACGCTTAGTGCAAGAAAAGTTCTTATGCATAACATAAAGAACAAAACTATCAGAATCTCAAGTGACAGCAGGGCTGCCTTGCAGTCACTTGGTACTGTAAAATTACCTCTAGGATGGTTTCCGAATGTCACCATGTACTAGAGCAAGTAACAAGCAGCAACACCCTTGAGCTCGTATGGGTCAAAGGGCATGCTGGAACGGAAGGTAATGAGAAAGCCAATAAATTGGCCCGACTGGCCTCAAAACAGGCGTTTTATGGTCCAGAGCCGGCTCTTCCACTTACAGTTACAACTGTAAACAACCTAATAACTCAAGACACCCAAACCCAGCACAGGGATAGGTGGAACTTGATGTTAGATTGTCGCCATGCGAGAGAAGCCTCCAGAGGACCATCTCGCAGCTTGGCGCGTTTTTGTACATGGCTATCAAGGAAGAACCTGAGGTTACTCGTAGGCATACTTTCTGAGCACTGTAAACTAAACAAGCACATGCACTGCATGGGTTTGGTGGAATCACCATCTTGTAGAGTATGTTACACAGACGACGAGACGGCACACCACATACTCTGTGAATGTCCCGCTCTAGTCCAACTGAGACGATCCATGTTGGGGGAATCCTTATCGGACATGGCTACGATTAGAGCCGCCTTCCAGCGTCCTTAAGGTTCATCTCACGTGTGGGATGGCTTGAGTGACGTTGAGGGGTCGGGCGACCCTAGTCAGGGAGGTAGTACAAAGGGCCCGAATTTGAGGCCTAAGTACGCATGGACACTGTTCACCCTCCTATCGTAATCCAGAATCCAGAAATCGATCGTAGAAAAAATCTTGTGTGTAATTCGAGCGCAAATTGATTGTCGATTTCAAATGTCTCTTTCAATCGACAATATATCATTTTACGCTCTATACACAAATAGCTATTCCCAATTTATAGTACCTCTGCAGTTAGACCATAGTCCATTGTTGGTGCCACTGGTTTTTCGCCCAAACCCTCAAAACATTCCTGCCCGATTTACGAGTTTTGATTTATATTTGGGTACAGTATGTTCTTCATTCCGCGTGTGCAGAATTAATCGATAAAATGATAAATTTTATAGCATTTTGTGGATGGCGCTATATTTTGAAACATCGACATTAGATTGCTCCTACTACTTATTTCTCGACTTATTTGAACCGAGTAATTATGAATACTAATATTTGACAGGATGACTTGTTTCAAATATGTATTGGGCTATCACAGATATACACATATTATATATACAGTGAATTTTTTTTTAATGCAAACATAGGAGTTTGCATGCAATGTAATTTCCCTATGTTCGATTTTAAAAAAAACACATCAATCTATTGAGTAGTTCAAATGAGTAGTAGATACAATTGACAGCTGTCACATTTTTAAAAATACCGCCGTCCAATTTAAATACGAAATCGGTTAGGTTATTGCTTAAATGTCAAGGAGGACACTTCGAACATTTATTGTAATTGTTTTCGGTATTTATTTTCTTCATTTATGTATTGAATATATCAAATTAGTAGAATACCAGGTGCACATGACCTACAAATAATTGAAGGTTGGTTCACAATGAGTTGTGGTGTCAGTGCGTGGCCTGTGAGGTCAAGTCATCGTGAGTTTAAGAAAAATGTATCCTAAAGTTGCTATGGCTTCACATGGCTTCTTTAAAGAAATCTTACCGAGTACTCTTCATCATAAAGAGTATTAGAGTTGTTGTTCATAGTCACACAAGTTGCGCGATTTGGGAATGTGAACCGCGCACACCCCACAGATTGATGTGTTTTTTTTTTAAATCGAACATAGGGAAATTACATTGCATGCAAACTCCTATGTTCGCATTTAAAAAAACTCACTGTATAATATTGTATGTGTATATCTGTGGGGCTATATTTCCATATTCAATCTCGACTTGACATAGTAGGTGAAAATGTAGCAAAATGAAGAAGAAAAAGGAATGTGTTCTACTCTCGGTTCTACTGCCTTACCAAAAAGTCGTTACATAAGTTGTAACAGTATTTTTTTGTAACCACTCCAAAAATAACACGAGAAACATGTAACGGGTGTCAGTAATTTTAGCTAGGTGTAAAAAGGACCCTGTGCGAATGAACAAAAACAAAGACTTTTGGGGGAACTTTTTAAACCAGTCCTCCTATTTAAAAAACAGTCATAATTTGAACATACCTCTTTTGAAATAGCATTCAGGAGATAAATTTCACGTAGATACGCTTGATCTTCTTTGACGGAAGGCTTCAAATGCAAATAATTAGTTTCAGGTTCCGCTATTTCTTTTATGCCACTGAGAAAATCAATATCCTGCACCTTAGAATAGGAAAATAAAGTATTCTACATTGCATATAATTACACTTACTGCTGATAGCCCCTCGGATAAATTTATATTAAACACTTTGTTTTTGCCATTGGGATACCTACTTTGAATTCGTTGTGATAACAAATAAAACAAATCGTCATTATCTGCATTGGTTTTTAAAGGAAACTGATGACCGATATTAGAATCTAAACTGGGCACACCGTCAACATTTAGTTCAACTATGACATGTGCTAGTTTAAAAGGGTTTGTTATGTAAAATCCATTCCACGATGTACCCTGCAATTTTAATAAATGAATGTACTTCAAGTTAGTTTGGTAATCGATAATTACTCGTTCTATTGAAAATCCGAAGGCTGCTGAATATACTTCTAGGAAATCTTGTTCGGGGAGACGTTCATTGCCTTTAAATAATATACCGCTTGGCGAATTTATTACTGTAAACTGGCCATTTCCATGAACTGAAAAACATTACCTGCACTTTATACAGTCAAATATAATGCGAAGCAACAAAATTTACGGAATAATATAAACTCTTACCAGTATTTATTAATAAAATTATACATAAAATTGGTATTAACATTTTCAAATCGATATGTTATACAATTAATACACTACACACACCTACTTCTACCACTTTTCAAACATATGATCAGAAATCATGTGACAATGGATGACCATCTCTTATAGATGGAGCAAATGTGCAACACCGCCCACAAATATTTATTGATTATACATATACAGGAGAAGTACGTATTACTGTTCCCAATGATTACCACTCTTAGACCATATAGTACATGGACTGCTAATTGTAACTAAAATATAGTCAAGGACATCGCCTGGGTATGTGAGTTTCAGGGTAAAAGAGTCTGTCCGAAGTTGTGCGATTAGACACGATTTGAGACTGTCAACCTATAAATTAACAAACGTCAATAAATTAATCGCTTAGATATCCCAAAAAAAGCAAACTTATTTTTATTTGTGGACGTATAGCAAATAATGAAGAGTATTTAAAGCTTCCCGTACTGCGCGATTACTATAAAGCTGCTCTTTAAGCGATCCTAGTGGTGTTTACACGACTTTAGTTTACCCTGAGATTCACATACCCACGACTACAGTGCCCTCTATCCGTGACCATCCATTTTGTATTGAAAGCATAGGGCGAATAGCAGTCCATGTACTATATGGTCTAAATTACCACTACAGCAATGGGTGCGTTAACCAGACTAAAGCGCTTCAAGTGTAGGCTTAACCCAAGGTTAATAGAGAAAGTAGGTTGCCTCGTAACTTTCAGCCAATAAACGTTCAGTATTAAAATACGCGAATAACGTCACCCAGAATCCCATTTTGTTCACATCATAAAAATTAATTATTAACGCCGCAACAACAACAGAGCAAGTTCAAAAAATGCAAAATGGATCGAAATGGTACTTTACATAGAAACATGCTAACGAAATATTAAACGAACTTTATTCAAAATAGTACATTTCATCTTCATAGTATTCGGTCGGGAAATGCGGACTGCACAGTCTATTGCGTACGGGGTTCAGGTTCCCCTTTCCATTGCACTTTATAACCCATTTTCCACTCCACCCAGTATCTATCATAGTTTTTGCGCAAAAAGTTAGAAAACCGTAAACGGGGACAAAACTTTAGGATGAGGGAGGAGCCGAGGAGCGTCAGGCGGAAGGGAGGGAAGAGTTGTTAGTTTGAACATGACACCACCAGGTATCATCCTACACAAGTTACGAAACTTTATTAATTTGTTTGACTAAAAAACATAAAATCACTGTATCTACTAGTTTTATAGTTGTGGAAACACAACAGACGGGGACACAGTTGCCCGGATACCGGTATCTCAAATACACCTGAAACAATGGGCCGTATGAATAAAAGTAAGCAAATGCTTATACTTGCAAAATTCAAAGTAAATACTCGTAACTGCCCCTTCATACTGGACTGTTTAGCATGATTTAACAGCGCTGCACTGCGTCCTGTCCTTCTGCTTAGAAGCGCTGCTAAGTCGCCCAGTGCGAAGGAGCACTTACGAGTATTTACTTTGAATTTTGTAAGTATAAGCATTTGCTTACTTTTATTCATACGGGCCATTGCGTCTTATGAAGCCGTTCACACATGCATACTTCTCGCAACAGTATCGGCAACTAAAATTCAGTCTCTTGCTAGTCCCAGTGGCCCTGTGATTTTATGATTTTGGGGGACTGATGGGCTATTGGTTCATTGGAACTATTTACACAAGGAGACTTTTTCATTAGGCTGCCAATGCATCGCCGAAAAAGTACTTCACTGCGAAAGAGAAGCTTTGAATGCCCAAAGTCTGCGAAGTGTATTCGACATAAATTCTGACGGCAGACTGTATCTCGGATACACTATCTCGCATACAGTATCCCCGTGTAAAAGCGGTCTGCACTTAAAACAGAAGGTAGAACAGGGAACACGATAACATGTTCTTATAAAAGGTTGATTAAAGAAATTGGTCGAGATTGTCAGGAGTTATTCAGTTGGATCTATACTCTTTGGTTGGAAACACTTAGCTGTCAATCATTTTCAAATCAACAAGTTCACAAATTACTACATTCAATACAATGCGTGTACAAATGCGACCGCACACTGTGAAAGTTTAGGAAGCGACAGTCTTTTCCATTTTCATCTGTGTAATTTGTTTCGGGATAGATTTACTTAAGTGCTAGGTACCTAGTAGGTAATAGTGTTTCATTATAGATTTAAGGTTTTTGTAATTATTTAAGAAAATATGTCACATGTGTGTACAAACTCAGTAAATTTATTTTTTTTTCATATTAGTTTAGACAAGCCAAGTAAGTAGTAGTTTATAAAAATTGTTATAAAGTGATTGTTAAAATAAGGGAAGTTTTGCGTTGAAACCTAGTTGTTTTGGTCTTTTGAAGTCATGTACAGTTATAGATTGTTTAGTTTGATTAGGAGTGCCCTCTAAATCGGCGCATTTACGCATTTTTGTTCTGTTGTATGGGCATCCAAGTGAGCTACACAGCAATAAGGTTAGGGATAACCGGAGAAAACAAATCAAAATAATAAGAGCAACTACACATGCACAATATATAAATATCCCTCGATGTATTACAAAAATTACATTTTAACGTTGAGTGCTTAATGCAATTTGTTCTTTCAATACAATTATACTATTACGTTGTTCCGGAGGCAACATTGCTATTTGTTCATCAGACAGTTGTAGAACTTGCATGATTAATGCAGCCTAAAACAGAGTAATAATTGAATAGTATTTGAGTAACAATATTTACCTTTTCTTGATCAGATGCACCCGCATTTCCAATGTTTGGCGACATACCAGAATTAATCCGAGATACATTAGGAATAACAGTCGGAACAGGAATTGGTGGCCTTACCGGTTGTACAGCAATTGGAATTGGAGGAATGGCTAAAATATAGTTTCATTTCCCGCATTTGTATTATACAATATATCAAATCCATACGCATGTTTTTGTGCCTAGGATCTTGTAATCTGGTTTGACGAGGATCGGTAAATCCTCCACCGCCAATGCCGGCTCCACTGCGAGGATCCCTTGCAAAACTAGAAAATTTCAATTTCAAGAATCAAGACATTAGTACAAATAGTGCTTAACTCGTTATATATATATTTACCTATCACTTTTCAAATCCACTTTAGGTAGGCTTTAAAGTATACAAAAAATAATATGTGAGTAACTTTAAGTTTCTGTGACGTGATGACATTTGCAGTATATTATGTCTACTTTATCAATACACCACTAACAGTATTTGATCTAATAAGTCATACTTGAATGGTAATGTATTAAAGAAAGCAATTGTAGAATAATTTGAAATGAAACAGTATAAAATAGTTGGCATACACACATGTAAAAAAAAGTAAGTCAGTAGAGCATAATCACACAAATTATCACGGATTTGTATAAATAAAATTGGACTGTATTGCAAATAATTTTGTTAATAGTAAGGTAAAGGAACCGGTGACAAACTCATATATCTTATCTAACACTCCCTATTCCTGTTTCGTGAAATTTGATCTTTAAAATTACCTCTATCAAATTCTGAACGGCACGCCCTAGCTAGAAGGTCCCATGCCTCTACACTACATATCACAATTTCCGAACAGAGTTGTAGATCAAGTGGAATTAATACCGGCTCCATTTCCATGGACCGTTAAAAATCAATACTAGATTATGTGACACGCTAATGGTACAATGATATTCCACATATTTGTTTGGTGAAAAGTTTTCTACATATTGTGTATTTTATTTATGTAGATTAATGTTTGGTTATTATATGCTTCATTTATGAGAATGTATGCTGTTTTTGAATAAAAAAATTTTTGAACATACAAAAAAAAACGTGTCCAAGTTGTTTACGTATATTCACGCACTTTTCACCAACCATTCAGTAGTCCTAACAATTCAATAATTCGGGCACACCTCTTGCATTTAATTGTTTGAATGAGCAAGCTTGCAATGTACAGGGTGGAAGATAGGTGTTTAACATGGGAAATAACTTTTTTCTATTTCGGTGTCACAATGATGATTTTGTACAACTGTGATTATAGTCGTTTTTTTTTTTGTAACTCATCTCTTAAGTTGGCAGTTACTAGTTAGTACAAGTAGGTACTTCCTTGGGTACTTCCATGTTTGAACTTCAAAATGTCAGTCTTACTACGCTGCCAACCTAAAACTTAACGGCATAAAAAGTGTTCCCAACATAAAACATGTTAGTTCTAATGTTCCCTATAGTTTCTGATAATGATTTTTTAAATTAAATTAAAGCACCGAAATAGAAAAAATAGTATGAAAAACGCGTGTTACAATGCTTTATTGTAATACTCCTCTTGCGGACACTCGTGGCTACGCTTCGCGTCGCCACTCGTGCCACAAGATAGTCGTATTACAATAGGTCGCATTGTAACACTTGTCTTTCAATATACTATTTCTTTGCGCAAATGTTTCCTAATTATTTTACGTAAAAATACTTCAAATAAACGTTATAGAGGTATAAATTCTGCATCTAAATCATGTGAAACGATTATTCTACCTCTTCTTGTACGCGAAAAAATTAATTATAAAAATTCTATTTTCACGAGTTTTTAGTCTAAGTAGCCATGGACTATGATAAAAGAAAAACATAGTCCATGGCTACTTAGACTAAAAACTCGTGAAAACAGAACAGAAAAGGTTGAAAATATGATTCCTTTCTGAAAAATTACCATCAAATTTCTTGTTTTATGACCCGTAAAAAAGTACATACTGTACCATATTGAGTACCATTTTTTATTACGAATACAACAAAGTATGCACATCACATCGTGCGAGAATACCTATCGGACATACTTTCCATTTTTCAGAAAATTCTTCCGATAGGTATTCTTGCATGATCAGGGCGTTGTGCGAGGGATGCGCCATCCTGTTGAAATCAAGGGTTTCCAACTATGGTTTCTTTGGGCTGTATGAATTCGTAATAAAAAATACTACTCAATATCGTATTTTTTACAAGCCATATAAAAAAATAAAGTTGATTATTGACTTTTTCGAAACAAAAATATTGTATTAAAAAGTTCTTAGGCTGTCTTGAAGAGATGAAAAAGCGACAATGAGAAAGTATTTTTTTGTATCTGTCAAGTAACATCAGAAAAAAATAAAAACGAAATTAGCATATTTCAGTTTTTCTGGCATATCTCTCATCTCATTTTTACATATAACGTAACTGACTATTTTTATGCCAGTATAACAAAAATTCAAAATTGTACAGCCTCAGCTGCAGTGTTTACATCACTGAAATAACGCAAACTATTTTCCACTTTCTCCAGAAATTAAAATGGTGTACCAAGGTATATAATGACTTACTTTTCTGAAACAGGTGGCGGTAGTGGATTGGGTAACTGCACTGGAAGCGGTCGCATGTCCTGGTCACCACCAATGCGCACACCTCCCAATCGAGGATCGCCAGGTCCTCTCATGTCCAAAGAGCGTAAATCGACATCCTGCCCTGTTTGTTATGCACGAAACAATGTATAGCAAAAAAATTTCCAAATAAGTCTTACCTGTAAACACGGGTGGCTGAGAATTTTGTAGTAGGGGAGGAATCGGTGGAAATTCTTGCCGAATAATAGGTGGTTGTTGGATTTGCGCTATAAAATTATTATTCAAAGGAACTGGACCGTGAATTGGTTTCTCGTTGGGCAATAATGGGGGTGGCACAGATGTCTCTGGATGAAGCATGCTCTAAATAATATTTTGAAAGTAGAAACGTTAATGGGCAAAAAAAAACTTACACAAGCAGTTTGAGGATCAACAATTCTCATAACAACTTGTGCTTGCAATAAAGCATACGCAAGTTGTGGATTTTGTAACAGCATGTTTCGAGCTTCTGATGGGTTGTTCTATATTAAAATGAATGTAAATAAGAATAATAATATAAAAAGGTAAATATACTACATATAGCTCATCCCATATTCACCCACAATAAAGAGCAGATTTCCTTTTTTAAAATCTTAATATAATCCCAAAATATTATAATGTAAGTAGGAACCCGTACCATATAATCGTAATATGCAATAATATACAGGGGGTTCTATGTAAAAAATGCAACTTTGATATAAATCACCCTTGTATTTAACAATATTGCAATTTTGTTGAAAATATTTTTAGATTGTAAAGAGTCCTTAAACATGCCTGACAATGAATTTTAAATATGTACGTTAATAAACCTACAATCTTCAAGCCACACATTAATAGCCCACCCTGTATAAAAGTCCTGACTAAAAATTGAACTTTACAAATTATCTGAATTCATTATACCAATAATAACCAACAACCAATAACTATTCCAGTAATGTGTAAACCTTCAAAGGTAATAACTAAACCTGTTGCTCAAATGGTTGCACAGGTCAACAAAAAGCGAAGTACGATCTTCCTTTGGTAAGTTGTAATTTACTACAGATGAAAATGTAACCATAATTTCAAGAATAACTTTGTAACACAGTAGGGAAGTTAAACACAAGGTTCAACATACGAGAATAAAATTATTGTAGCATCCCTATTTGCAAGCTTGAAATCGTGATTATATAAATGCATTCTTCACCTTCACGATGTCGATTGCTTTGCATTCAACAAACCCCATTACCAAACCTAAACCACATAATTAAAAATGGTTATAAATTTCAATATAAGTTACATAGTTACAAAAGCATAATTTCCCTATGTGACAACCTATCGTAATAAATTTACATTGGTGTCAGTATTGTCACTTGTATTATTAAGAGTGTGTGATATAGGTACCTGCACACATAATTTCATTTGTTTCATTAATTCAAACATTTGTTCTGGTGGCAATGACGCAACAGCTTTACTTATAGCTTCAGGTGCCTTTTCAGCCTGGATCGGTTCTCCATAGGGATTTTCAACTGGTGGTTGGTTCAACAAGTTTTGCATTTCCATTCGAGACTTTTCCGTACACGCATTATCGACTCGTAAATTACGACCACCAATTTCGTACCCGTTTAAATTTCGCATGGCACTAAGTGCAGTTTCTTGATCTCTATATTCGCAAAAGCCATATCCTTTCGGTTTTCCAGTCTCTCGGTCGAATACAAGTCTAAGTACACAGAAGTTCACAAAAGACTATTGCGTTAATTGGTTCAAACTTACTTAAATGACAAGACCTGTCCTACTTCCCCAAAAATATCCTTAAGCTTCTCTTCGGTGGCTTCATAAGGAATATTTCCCACTAAAATAAAAAAAATCTGAACAAGATCAATCTCTATTCTACAAACGTTACCAAAAACTGAACGCATGGATTTATCCATTATATTTGCATCTAGATTATCCATAGTAACGATTCTTCTTTTGTTTATAAAAAAAAATATCGAAATAAACACTTTACTCCCAGCGATGTGAATTTAGCAAACTACGCGAACCGGCGACAGCCTTCTCTTCTAGCAGATGTGTTGCACACTGACTCCCTCGGTACTGCGCAAACGCAAGCGCGCTTAAATTTGAATTTGCTTTAACGCGCTCGAATTAATAAAGCGTTCGGTCATCACTGTCAATTTCAGTTTATAGCCCCAACAACCGTCATGATCCTTTACAGCATAATATTAAACAATTGTAAGAATTGTGACGTTATTATTTATTATAATCAAAACCCTTCTACCATCACGGTGTACGGAAAATAAATTAACATACCAGTTAAGTCACTATAAATCAAGCTATAAACTATTGTACTCCATTTTTTCCTATCTCGCGTTAACTTCTTAAGGCGCAGATAGACTAGCAAGTTACTTGTGACAATCTCGCGGAAGAAACTTCCACATGTATTTACACTGAGTAATAAGTGTCGCGATATAAACTGTCGGGCATGTTGGGTGAGCCATTGCTGTGGCAAGTTCTCACAAAACTGTTTAGACTAGCAGCACTTTTAGCTTCCTAAAATGCTGTCAGTTGATACCGTGGGGTATTATACACCATGGTTGATACGTAGCAGTTGTTTTCGAGAACTTATCTCACGTTATGGTGCCAATAGCACATCTTTGTGTTGCCGCGGCTGTAGTTTTATGCAATAATGTGAAACCCAAAGAAGTGTTGGGTGAGAGAATGGATTTCCAGAAGAAAAAGTATGGGGCCTACAATAAATTGATGCGCTGATAATCGGAGAATCAATCCCAAAATTTAAAAATTTTATTCGTATGTCAGCGGTAGACCTTCAGGAACTGTTATTACAAAATTAAAAAGCAGGATACTCATTTACGTGCCACAATATAATAAGTAAAACTCGCAAGTTTACTCGCCAAAATATCGAAACGAAATAGAAAGTTTGCGAGAACTTGGTGACCTGCACTTTTGCCTGTTTAGACTGGCAAGAAAAGTGTCGCAAGAATTCTTCCGCGAGTTCTGTCAAATGGACTCGCAATGCTATTTACACTTAAGACAGTATCTAGTGTCCGACAGTAAATCGCGCGAGTTTTCTTTCTAGTCTAAAGACGCCTTTAGCATCCTTCCATTCTATGCCTTGATCTTGAAGTATTCTTGCTACTTAGGTAGGTATATCCCATGTCGTCTTTATGCTTCCCCTTTTCTTCCTATTTTGAATTCCGGTGTTCCATTATCCATATGTGTTTCGCAAGCTATTTCTATAATTAACTGTTGCAGTACCTACTTACCGAAATAGTTTCTTTTTATCGCTTTTGGCATATTTTAGTCTATAGGAATTCATCTTGATAACATGACATTAACATTATACCTACTACACCTACTTACGAGTATAATAGGTAAGCAGGTAAGCTAAATTATCTTCAATTATAACGTTTGCAGGTTATGTGTATTATTTACCTTCTCTTATATAGATGCATATATATAAGAGAATGTATAGATGTTTACCCCTCACACTTTAGACGGTTGTACGCATATTCAAATTTTAGCGCGCTTGCGTTTGCGCAGTACCGAGAGAGTGAATATGTAACACATCTGCAAGTAGCCGCTACCCAAGGATGCTATATTATAATACTGAATTTTTTCGCCGCGTGTAGTGACGTCACTGGCGGACCCAGATGCACCGCATGCTTTGATGTTTCGATTTGTGCACCACTTTCATTTGTATTTTATATTATGTAAGATTCTAAGAGCTCCTTCTCACGATGCGTTTTTGAAACGCTGCAGAGTGGAAATTTTCTTCGAAAAAAAGATACGGTTATACGGAAATCCATTCCTCCCGATAATAATAACAATCTTAAACATAACAAACTTAGCTTTATATACAAAATATCAGTACATATGTACCTACGCTCTTTACTAAGGTAATTGATATACAAGTAAATCAATTCTCCCCAAATCAGACACCATTTTTTAAAAAAACGACGCCCCGTGCGCTTTTGTTGCGTGAAGGCGCTTCTGAAAATCGCTTCGTGCTACTTGTGGCGCTGCAAAACGCACCGTGTGACAGGGTCACTATACCAGCCGCTTCAAAAAACGTCTGGTGAGAAGGGGCTCTAATACGTCCAAATGGATGTTATAGGTAGGTATTTAAATGAGAAACATTTGTCATTCATCGTCTACAAGTCTACAAATTCTCCTTCGGTTTTTCGCAACTCAAATAAATGTCGTGAACCCATTTCATCCTGCGTTTTTGTTTTTTTTTGCTCTTCTTCGTCCATGGAAATTGCAGCTAAATCAGTTTATTTAAACTTTGTCCATCTTAAAATAACGATTTCTCGACGTTCTTTTTGACACTCGCTAAAATGAGCCCCAGTTGGGTGTAAAATGTGAGCCCAAATTGTTATTACAGTCCAATATTGCACGTCGGCGTCCAAGCATTTTTGTTGCAATATAGCGATAAGCGAACACTTATACACACAGTTATAACGCTAATGCAAAAACGTTGACAACTTAGCAAATTTTAACTGTCAATTCTGACAGCCAGGTCCGTTGGTGACGTCACATTATGAATTAAATGCGGGCAACATTACAAGTATAGGGATCGAGCAATCCTTATATTATATAGCATCCTTAGCCGCTACCGGAAGATGATGATAACCTAATTTATAAATTGTCCACACCTCATATGTATTACACCGGGTGGCGTATTGACATTCTGTACTTATATTATATTCAGAGCAGCTCTGGTCTGGTCCAGGCGTGCAACACATCATTATCGGCCGGCGCAAGTATACGCCATATTCTTTTCGACTTAATCTAGTCGACCACTCATACTATAGTTAAGCAGCTGCCTAACTGTCCAGTGCCTTTAGATAAACGATCGATCATTAATCAATTTAGTACCAAAGATCGCTCTTAGCATTTTAAAATACCGGTCTGTGATTTCTTTCAATTATCTGTTAATTAATAAAGTACATTGTTAAGGATGTTTAAACTTGTCTAATTAATGTGTACCTACTGTTTATTATTGTGCAAATTGGTCGTTACTGGCATATCCTCATTTCGCTAGCATTTCGTTTTGATTAGTGGCCCGATTGCGGACCTCAAGATTATTTCTTTGGAAACGGTGCCCAGCACCGCTACAGTCCAAATATCCGATCACTGAAAACGTATTCTCGTTCTCGTTTTCTTGCAAAGGTAACAATAAAAACACACTTCTTGTAAGCGCTTTATAGAAACCCATTATATACAATGTTTCAGAACTCTAAAGTTTAAACCATATCGGTGCTCTGAATCGCAGTATATAATGTATTATTAAATTGCGCATAACGTGAAGCGAAATTATATATTTAATTCCTTCTTTTTAAATTCGGTAGCTTATAATAGCTCTAGCACCTGTGCCAAGAACAGTCTTTACGATTAATGTGCGCGTGCGTAGGCCATATCAATTTTCTTATTTATTAATGTATTTGAGATGCCCCAACCTTAGCAACATCCAGTGAATATGATTGTCGATACGAAGCACCCTATACATCATTTTAGTTACAAAAGATGCCAACCGAATTGCAAGATGTGTTGCACGGTGACTCCCTCGGTACTGCGCAACCGCAAGTGCGCTAGAATTTGAATTTGCGTATGGAACTTGTAGTGTAATTAACCCCCAGATTCTACACTCTGTTCACACTACAAGAACACGCAAATAAACTCAACCCGGCAACGTTTAAATATGGCCACCCGAAAAACTGCCCTCCAAAATAAAACAAGGTCCCGCTTAAATTTGAAAAGTGGCTCGTGATCAAACATCTAAGGCTGGGCCCCCTTACGTTAGTTGTAGACAACGCTTTGACCTGAAGCACAGTAGGGAAGGAACGTTAAGGTTGTTTTGTTACCCAATAAATGAAGTTATACATCACTGGATGGCAGCACGTGTACAAGTATTTACGTAGCCAGTTTTACGCAGCACAATTTGTAATCTCACGTCCGCCTTAAGGTAAGTTCATAGCTCTCCGTTCATACGTTTCCGTATGTCCGATAGCCAATCAGAAGACAGCAAATTTTTAAATCGTACGTCGTCCGTTTACGACGGAAAAGTTGGTTGAAGTTGAACATTTACGTATCCGTTGGTCCGTTTTTAACAAGAGTGAGGTTATGTTTGGTACGTTAACAGCGTTCGCCTATTCGTTCTTCACGGTAATAATCAGATAGCAACGTATTCTTACTTTCGTACCATTTTTACATACTGAAAATCACGGAGGGTACAGTACAAAATAAAATTTAGGTTATGGTTATACGTTGCACTTGTACAATGTGGACGGATTGCTATGAACCTTAACAAAATTTTCTATCCGTTTGACGGATCAACGCAACGGATGAACGGAGAACTATGAACCCACCTTTACGCAGCACAACTTTTAAAGTATACTACTCTATGACAAGATATGGTACATATCGTCAGTAAACTATAGTCCATATGCGCAGCAATGTAACATAAATTATTAAATCGTAAATGAAATGTCATTTATAACGCGACCGATAGTTGTATTTAATAATATGCACCTGAAATGCAATGTAAAAACCCGTTCCCTACGAGTGAAAGTTTCTCAAAACCAGCCGTACGGAGTCAGCGGTTCTCAATACAACATCCGTTGCGCATTGCGCTATAAATGACATTTGGTTTAAGACTTATAATATATATTGGTCAGCATATGGTGTAGGTACCTTTCTCAATAGTTATACCTGAGAAGCATAAATAATAAAAAATACACGTTTTGAAGCACCACGAAGCCGAATCAAACAAAATCTGGATTATCTCTATCTGTCTGTCTGTCGGTAGTCTCATTTTCAAGTAAACGACTGAACCGATTGGAACCAAATTTGGTACATATATGTTTAGACATACCTAAACGAAAGAGCAGAAAAGCTTTTGGGTAGAATCACGCATGTGCAGATATGCCGGTAGTATAGGTAAATGCTGCGATAAGTTTGCCTTTACTAGAAGCACATGTGGTTAAAATTTCAAAAAAATAGCCGATTAAGAAAGATGATATCGCTCAGCTTCCGCATGACACATTTAATTTTTACTATATGCCTTGTTTTTCTTTACTAATTTCAAAGAAATGACTATAAAGTTGGCACATTGCGCAGTATGCGTATGCGCACATCTGGTTTTTACCATATATGCGATATGTCGCCAAGCGGAAAACATATTTTTGGTAACGATTCTACTAGTTGTCTTCTGTACGCGCAGACCATGCGCATATTATGTTTTAAATGTAGGTACCAGGTTAGTAGGTATTGTTTCTAATAAGAAAAGAGATATAAAGGATGATGAATAATAATACCTACATAACTGGTTTTAACTTTACCAGCCGCTGGTCAGGCGCAGGAGCAAGCAATTGGTGTAAATTTTCTTGGTTCTTGGTTGTTACTATACCCTAAGCTACCGAATACAAACAGGACGAACTCTTGAAAACTGTAAGAGTAGATGCAGCTTCGAGTGGACGGACGGAGAAAGTGGCAATAATAGCGCCTTTCAACATGTATTGGAAAATGCGCTAGAACTGCCCTCTGCCATATTCGCTATGCGCACCACTTTTTTGTAAGACGAACATTTGGTGCAATATGTTTAGGTTATTTCAACGATGAACTGCGCATAATTTTTTTTTAAAGTCACACGAAGAAACTGTCCGCAATTGCAGTTCGAAATATAAAATTTTGTGCACACTCCATCAGTCAGAAGAATCGAGCTCGCCCCAACGACAGAGCTCGCGCGTGCATGTCGGTTACCATTTTGTACATACTATAAATACTTATTTCCATAACACTGTAAATAAAAATTAATAAAAGTTTTTTGAAGTTGAACTTGAAACTTTTATTTAGCATTGTCCGCTAAAGAGTGTTTAGAGTTTTAATTCCCAAAACCTAGATATTAATACATAGGGGTGATTCATATTTTGTAGATCGCGGAATTATATCCCATTTCCACCTCTAAAATTAATTTGATTACATTTTAATTAGATGTCATCATATCACAGAAGTCCTCGCGCAACGTAAAATAGCTTACGCACCACACTCAGTTTTTCAATTCTTTGATTGCTTTCAAAGTTGGAAGTCCATAAACTTCCAAGATTTCCAATATAATGTCATAAACAACACTTCGTTTTACAACATTTTTATTGGTACGAATACACTTTCAACGTCAAAACTAAAATAAAAATAATTCCACTCCTCTCGTCGGCCATTTTTCCATTCTCTGCCTGTCATTCTCTCGTCCCTGTCTCCGGCTCCGGCTCGTCCTTCCAGTGGCGTACCCTCTTCGTACATCAGGGGCGGCGTTCCTTCATCACAATAATATCCACCCTTTTATACATATACCCATATAAATCCAAAAATATACTGCAAAAACTAAATTTTTTTACCCCTTTTACTAGCATTGTAACCTATGAGCAATTTTAAATGTGTATTCTGGATGACGTTTCTCCGCCTTCAAAATGCAAGCATTCTATTGGTTTAGAGTGACCAGACAACCTTTTTTAATAAAACAACCTTGAGTATACCCAAGGTTAATAGAGAAAGGAGGTTGCCTCGTAACTTTCAGCCAATAAACGTTCAGTATTAAAATACGCGAATGACGTCACCCAGAATCCTATTTTGTCCACATCATAAAAATTAATTATTAACGCAACAATAACAGAGCAAGTTCCAAAAATGCAAAATGGATCAAAATGGTACCTACTTTACATGGATGTGCTCAAAAGTTCTTGCATTGCATAGAAAGAAACATGCTGGCGAAAACGCACTTTGTTCAAAATAGCTTACATTTCATCTTCATAGTCTTGGGCCGGGAAATGCAGACTGCACAGTCTATTGCATACAGGCTTCAGGTTCCCCTTTCCATTGCACTTTATAACCCCTTCTTTTTGTAATACAGGAATTATCTTTTGGAAAAGCAAAAAACTGAATCTGCGATCCATTTGCTTTCGATTTGTTGGAGTGGAGCTGCTATTGCATATAACAACATCACAAAGATTTCCATCCGGCGTCTAATACCCTATATTCAGTAAGTATTCGTAATAGAATCTTTCGCACTGTCTGACAATTAAGTACCTACTTACACAGTTCAAATATAACTGTCAAAGTCAACGAAAATTTACACACCAATCAAATGGGACTTCCGGATTCTCGATGACGCGTCTCTCTAAAGTTACGAGGCAACCTACTCTCTCTATAGTAGGAGAGCTGGTGGACATTTTTGGGTAAGTATTTGAGGCACGCTGAAAACTTGTCCACCACTTCTCCAATAATACCCAAACACAGAAATGCAGACCTGGCTGAGCAGAAGCGGGGCAAACACCTTGCCAGGCGCCTTCAAAGTTTGAAAAAAGAATGTATGCCCAGTCGAGTATCGGAATGCGTCAGAAGTAGTGGATGATCTACACATTGGCCCGTATGAATAAAAGAAAGCAAATGCTTATACACGTCTTTCGCTATAAAAACCGATGCACGTCATTGATTTATGAATCAATTTCAGACAAGTTTTCTATAGATTTCGCACACTTGTTTTTTTTTTGTACATGTTGCAGTGTTGCAGCATATGTCTGAAATTGATACACAAATCAATGACGTGCAACGGTTTCTATAGCGAAAGACGTATACTTGCAAAATTCAAAGTAAATACTCGTAAGTGCTCCTTCGCACTGGGCGACTTAGCAGCGCTGCTAAGCAGAAGGACAGGACGCAGTGCAGCGCTGCTAAACAAACCAGTATAAAGGGGCACTTACGAGTATTTACTTTGAATTTTGCAAGTATAAGCATTTGCTTACTTTTATTCATACGGGCCATTATTTAGTGTCGTCTGAATTAGTTGTAATTGTATCATGTTGAAATTTTCATCGTTTCTTATGCCGAAATAAAGACCATTCTCCTGAAACTTTCGTCAAAAGTGATCAAAGTACACTAGGTGTTCATGTATTTATTGCGGCCAGTATACACTTCAAATCAAGAGTCCCTTGGCCCTGCGTCATTGATTTGTTAATCAATTTCAGACAAGATTTTTTATCGATTTCGCATACTTGATAGTTGTTGCAGCGCTTTAGCGTATGTCTGCATATGTCTGAAATCAAAGAGTTTTCAGCGTGCCTCAAATACCTACTCAAAAATGTCTACCAGCTCTCGGACTACTAGTTACTAACCTTGGAGTATACCCAGCGTTGACTGATAAATAATTTATCAATCAACGATACCCAGTTTACGATGCTATAGTCAGCAGTAGTGCCAACCACTCTAATCCCGCACGTCCCGACTCAACCAGTGCATTGTGAATGGGGACGCCATTCGGAGGACGTATTGTTTAAATAGCTTAATATTGCGTATTCATAAATGGTATTATGTATGTTCTTGGTAAATTTAACTATCTAACGGTATTTATTAGCTTCCCTTAGGGGAGTTGGGGGTTCTTTATGCCACACCCTGTATAAATGACACCGTAATAACTGTACCACCTCCATTTGTCTGAGGCGGTTTATTGACAACTTCCAATTATTTGTAGCGTTTATAACCCCACAATTTCTGTGTGTTTACAAAATAAAAATTTTAAATTAAAAATTTCAAGATAAAATTGGAACAATGTCTCAGGTTATAAAGCAGGTAGAAGAGAGAAGTGTTGCAAATGAAATCGATATGTTATTGTGGAGTGATCGAATGGATTTAGTTGCAATTGCCAATTCAAAAGGCAAGTGTGAGGTAATTGTACATTTTTTTCCTAACTGCAGTACGTTTTAGGGGAGGTGGCGTTGCATCGACTATCGTGGGCACGAGTTTGGTGTCTTGCTCCGCCCTATGATTATGGTACTGTAGTTACTGATATGGCGTGGCGACCTGATGGTAGGATTTTAGCCGTTGCATATTATAGCAGTCACAGTAAGTATAATAATGTGTATCAAACAGTCTAAAGTTAGTCTAAAGGAGGTTTGCAAGAAAATTGTTGCAAATGAGCCCAAAACAGAAATTCATGCATTCTGTTAGACTACAAAGTGTCCAAAGTGATGATTTTAAACAGGTAACAGTAATGTTTTGGTTGAGGTTTTGGTAATGGTAAACACAACCAACTTGCTAAAGTTTTGCAATAGAACTATAGCATTAACTTTAGCACTTTTCATTTGCTACTTTTGTTGAAAAGATGATTAAAGCTGATTATTCTCTTACTGAATATTATAGGTCACATTTATTTAATAAATGTGGAAAATAAGAACATACTTCATAAAGTGGTATCGGCTCATGCAGAAAAAGTGACGTGCATATCATGGGCTCAGGAAAAATCAGACCTAAAACAAAATGAAGATGAAGATCCAATTACTTACACAAAATATCCAGTAAGTATGACTTAGGAGATTATTTCAAGAGTTTAGAATAACTGTACCTCTTGGACCATACAATGTACATAGACTGCTGTGCACACGGGGCCAGATCGGGAGAATACAGAGGATGTATTGCTGTACGGAAACTTTGTTTATGGCTAAATACTGCTTTGCAGGTTTGCCAAGATTAACAGTTTGGCTCTGTGGTCGATGTAGATGACGCCTCGATCATCATGGCCTTGCTCAGCTTGGCTCTTTTTCATCTTGAGAGAACTTGTCTTCCAGCAATTATAATCCATATACAGGGTGGTGACTTGCATAACGCATCATAGGAATTTCAATGTAAAATTCATAACATGCAATTATTGGCTCCCCAAATTATTTTAGAGCAAGAATGTATTAAGGTTTTTTGTAGAAAAAAAATGTTTACGCCATTCAACCGTATTAGTTTTCAATTTTTTGCATAATAAAGACGGAAAATTGGAAAAATAAAACCCCCATCTTTTTCAATAATCTGTGATGCCATGGAATTTTATAACACAAAAACAACTCAATGACAAAAACTACGCCAATATCCGTCATAAAACAAATCAAATTCTATCAAAACGTATTATATTTAGAACAGCGAATTCAACATAAAGAAAGATCAAATTACTAAAAACGGTTTCCTAATATAACAATTTACAATAAATGTTCGAATAAGTCACCATTAACTGCAATACAGTAACCAAGGTCGATCATAAAATCCATTTCGAACTGCTGCTAATTGATAACTGGATATCTTTTTGTTTTAGAAAATTCCATGGCATTGCAGATTATTGAAAAAGATTCGGGTTTTATTTTTCCAATTCTCCGTCTTTATTATGAACAAAATTGAAAACTAATACGGTTGATTGACGTAAAAATTTTCTTTCTACAAAAAACCATAATACATTTTTGCTCTAAAATAATTTAGGGAGCCAATAATCGCATGTTATGAATTTTACATTGAAATCCCTATGATGCGTTACGCAAGTCACCACCCTGTATAGAAGGATGGAATTATTTAATTTACGTGGGCTTTTGCGTATACCTTTCTGATTTTGCGCTATTTGCAGACTAGGAGTGCAGAAAAAGTTCCGGATCTTAACTTTAAAGTGGTGCATCTTGGAACATGTAAAAGAGAATACTCTTGTAGTTACCTCAACCACTCATTTTTTTTACGTACTTACTGGTTACATCCTAACCCTCGACTTCACCTTAAAATAAAGTACTAACTTCTTTTATTCATAATATTGATTTTGAGATCTCTGCATATCTAATGATCATTTTTTTACATACATAAGAGCGACCATAAAAGTGTGACATTTTTTTTGCTGGATAGACAAACTTACGCTTCAATGGAACTCAATGTGAACTGTTTTTATTAATTTAAGTTTTGAATATTACTAATACTGGTATTTTTGTAGGATCACTCGAGCAAATACGTATTGGAACTGTCGCCGCTATCTAGTTTAAGTCCTACGATGACTAACCTTCAGGATGAAAATACTCATTCAAATTTATTTCACGAACAAAAAGACTTAAATTTACTGCTTGTTGGTACAGACGAGGGCCATTTGCGTATGAGTATATTTGGCCAGTTTGTGTGTGCAGATCTGCATTTAAGTGATTACCTGGGCCAAAAATGTTCAGTGATGAGTGCCCATTTATCTAATGATTTAAGTACATTGCACGTTACCGTCAAATGTGAATCAAGTGTGAAAATTGTTATACTAAAGAGTGACCTTCTTAAGATACACTCGAAGGAAATATTTGCAATCGCCATAAAGGATGCCCATCTTAATAACCTCGTTTCTTACCTTTCAAATATAATTGTCCTCATCAAGGAAAGTTGGGAAACCAGTTTACTGGAAATGGATCATAAATTATCTTACTACGCTTCCCTAGTACCCGATGGGGTATTGTCGGCCGAATTTTTAGATTTGTTAATGTTTGGAATCACTTCTAGCAGAATGCAAAAGTTTCTGTTGCAAGATTTAACAGAAAAAGGCTTAAAAAAGTTTGGCCAAGTTATTGAAATGTGCTATGCAAATATACAAAAGCTGTTACTAAAACATGTTACGAAAGCAGGCCAAAATATCACATTTCATTTGTCCGAACTGAGAGGTATGGCAAGATTAGAACATAACTTTAAGGTAAGTAACATTTGTCAAAACTATAAATCCAGCTTTAAAATGGATTCGTTTTTTTAGGAGGTGGGACTGTCGGAAAATGCAATTACAGAAGCAGTTGGTGCAAATGGAAGTTTTCTAATAAAAGGAGGGGAAATGCACCAAATAATAAATCATTTCATGATCAATTATAAAGCTTTCTTCAGGTGGATCTATTCGGAAATTATACATTTGATGGATGAAAAAGTGGTGCCTGAAATGCCCAAAAATACGCAGCAGGATGTAACGCACATCATGGAGTTTGTACTGAATTTCGACCACATCATGCCATATGGTCGTCTAAATGTTGGGAAAAAGAATTTCACTGTGGAAAAATTAGGGCAATATTTGAATGATTATCCATTACGTATACCCCCTGAAACTGATGAAAATATATGGGAGCAATTTCTTAAGAGAAACGAGTGCTTTAACGATGACCCACATTTAATAAAACACTTTCCTAATTATTCATTAATAATGCAGTTTAAACAACTGGTAGCATCTATAGAAAATATTTTTTCGGCCCCAAAAAGCTTGTTAGCGAATCATTTTTCGGTTTCACATATAATAAATTGTTTAAGTATCGAAGACAGTAAGCCTTTGTATTTATCAGAAATTAACAATCATTCGGATTCTACATATATAACATTTCTTAATAAAACCTCACTACTGGCTGACGGATTATACTTTTTGGAATTATTTAATGGTTCCAATAAAGTGCACGGAGTATATTTTTACTTTAAACATTCCGATAATTACCATAATTATCCAGTACTTGATATAAAGTTTTATTCTCAAAGTATTTTATCTGTTCTCCTGCAAGATACAAATTTGAATAAAAATGGTATTCTATGTCAATTAAACGTATCATTTCTTAAAGAGAAACTTGTTGAAATTGACTTGAGCCAAGACGTCTGCAATCAGAATTTGCCTAAGTATAATGCGTTTGAATTGGGTACCCCTTTACAGAAAATTGTTGATGGTATGCCATGCAGTTATTTCGCAGTATCTGGTTGTAGACGAGTGTCTATTGTTCTATCTGAGAATAGGAAAAGGGTGCGACTGTACGAAATGGAAGCTGAAGAAGATGACGATGAAGATGCTGATATGACCAACAGTGCAAGAGAAAGTGATACCAGTATGCAGGAGGACAATGTCGTTAACGAATAAGCGCCATATTAAAGTATACTTTATTGTTAAGTATGTATGCTAGCTGAAAATAAAATTGAAACTTTTTGAACCACTAGCTTTAATCACTCGTAGGATAAATAATTTGAATTTAATGCAGCTTAATGAAGATCACAATTGGTTAAACATCTCTCAAATGACTCAAAAGTGTTCAAACTTCAAATACAGTTCGCCCGTTATAAATTTACCTAGCGCACTCGTCTATTTTAAATAGTTACAAGCGATATTCCCAGTGGCCGCGCAATACGAAAGGTATAGTGTTCGCCCGACGCCCAACCTCAAAAAAGACCCGTCAAATTTAAATGGACATTTTTAATTGGCCGAATTTTCAAAGCCTGTACACGCAAAACTATTTGTTGCCAATAGGGTAGATGACAAATTTTTTAAAACCTGTTATAACTGTTCGTACACCTCAACTATAACTTTAAAATATGATATTACAGCAAAATAAACCATATTATTGCAAATGTATGCAATTTGAATTGTAGGTTTTTATTTTAGCGCCAAAACGCTGTTTTGTGTCATGGCGGTGTCTGTGACGTCACAGTCCTGACGGACAGTTATAAACACATAACCCCAGCGTAAATAGTTTAAAAGATTTCGTGATGAATTATAACTACTATAAGTGGTGCCCTACCATGATGGATACATATACATGTGGCGCAGCTAAGTATCCCAGGCGGGTGATTGCTATGACTCCATGGATAAAGTCTGATCCGTGCTACCCGATTCCGGTAAATCCGGTTCAAAGGATGCTGTATCATTCAAATGCTTCATAGAGTAGAGGAATCCAAAAGGATTCTCGACGATTGCTCTTAAACATAATATAGAAAACTATATTAACATGAGTAGCACATTTTTCACGTACGTTTACTCCTGAGGTGTGCGGTATTTTGAACAAATTTCGATTCCGATTCGGCCATTTGCCGATACAGGAGTAGAGTTTCGAATAATCGGACTCGATCATGACTTGTTACACGTGATAAAGGAGACTCAATCGACACTAGTACTCCGGGTTGTGGAAAGCGTTAGGGACTGACCACTCCAGTTCACTTAATAGGGTTTGGACTCTGAGGGGTTGTAAAAGTAGCTTAATGGTAGAGCCAAGAGAATAATTTGTGCGTATTATTTTCCTGGGAAATTTTTCATGGTTCTACTGGACCAGCAATTGAAATCCGAAGGGATATAAGTGTTAGCTGCATTTCGCAATTATATGAAGACTACTACTACTGCTGGAAGTATATTAAATTAGACACCAAATAAATTGTTTATATCCGTACCCAAAAAAGAAGGAACGTCTCGCGACAGTAATCACTTGGCTGCTACGCACATGCGCAGAACGGTATTTCTTTATTCACATTTCTAAATTTAAATTTAAAGTTTTGTGCATTAATGGGAAGGTGTAATACGCATGTGCGTAGCAGCCAAGTGATTACTGTCGCGAGACGAACGGAAAAAAGAAGCCATACGGAAAAAGTGGCACCAGCCTGAAGTTACATTCGCTTTTTTTTTAAGGACATTCGCTTTTGGGGTAGTACCAACCTAAACGGGAAAACAAAAAATAACTAGGACCGGGCTGAAGTTACATTCGTTTTTTTTTGTTTTTTTTTAATCAATGGCCATCTAAAGTGATGGCACCGGGACCAATTCTCATCCCCTTTTCGGAAAATAGCCCTAAACCCCCGACAAATTCGTCCCCGAAGTTGACAAATTCCGCAAGTGTGTGAGTGAGTGAGTTTTGCACGCGGAGGATAAGGACGCCGTGGAGGCCCAAGGGCCCACCTAAATCCCCCTACCTGTAGTTTTTCGAAAAGTGCCCCACAGTTCGAGAAATTCCCTTTTGTTTGGTCAATGGCGCGGTATACGAATAATGCAAGTTGCAATTCAAAATTGATTTATTAAAATTGAGCGAGTTTTGCACGCGGAGGATAAGGACGCCGTGGAGGCCCAAGGGCCCACCTAAAACCCTCTACCTATCGTTTCATACGATCAGCGGTTCTTATTATCTTAGAAATTTAGATTTGTGGCCCTGAAGAGGGCCGTTTTTTATCAGCAGAACGCCGGCCGGCTAATCCTTTATGGCACGTCTTATCTCGCGTTCCATGGCGCGCAACCCTAATACGTTGGGATGGATTCCGTCCGTGTCAAACCAATGGATGCCTGGCCGATGGAAAATTCGGTTTAGGTCAGCAAGAACTAGACCCTGTTTTTCAGCTAGAGCTGTAACAGCTTTGTTGATGGCGGCAACGTTGTGGTCACTTCTGGTTGTGCGTCTATTGGGTGGAATTGTGCACAAGACGATTCTTACGGACGGTTTCATCCGCTTGAAGTCCCGGATCAGCCACTTCAGCGTTCTTCTAAATTTCGGTTCGTGGAACTCCTTCCTCGCTGCGTCATTGGTCCCTATCATAATGACAGCGGTGTTCACGTCGCTGGGGATACTCCACACGCTTCCTTTTGCAGCTGAAGAACTCAAACGGCGCCTTAATTGATCAATTGTCTGCCCACCTACACACAATTCCGCACACCACTTTCCTTCTTCATTTTTGAAAGAGTTGATCTCACTCACTTTGCAGAGCATCCTTCGCAATATGCTGTCCCCCAGGTGAAACGTCATGATCAACTATCTCTCATCAACTGTTTCCAACGACTGGTTGTAGGTCCAAAATAAATTAATTTGAGATATAATGACAGGGTCATTAGGTAACTGTGTCAATTGATTTGCTGCTATCACCTCTCGTATACCTACTTTCCATTCTTATCTGGTTTAAAAAACTAAACTTTAGGTTAATATAATCACTATAAAATTGAACAAGCACTAAATTAAAAGACGTAGACAAACGCTATAAACGCACAGAGGATCGCTGCTTGAACCGCCAATTAGGATAATGACGTCACGCGCTCTGATTGGCGTTTGATATCACATGACAAATGTCGTTATTTTTTAATTTTATTTTTACTTAAATATAATCATTTCTGGTGTACATTACCAAATAAAGTTATTTTGCGATACCCTGGCACCTTACTCTATCTTATGAAACAGACATTTGTTTATTCTTTTTCCACTGTCATGTACCCTATTGTAATTGCCGTGTATGATTTGACATCCTTAACTTTAAACTTAGCTGTCATTGCATTTTCTATTTACCTTGCCTTAATTTACTCTTAATCTCATTTATAAAAACAAAATAGCGTTTTTGGAGATTTGAGCTATCGAAAGGTAGTGAGCTTATTTTTCTCTACCTAAAAAATGACCTGCCAACATTTTGATCAAAAAAATTTGTTTTTATTATACTTCATTGAAATCACCTTATTTACACCTGTATTAGAAATAATGGTATCTGGCCTTTTCCAGGCTAGCGCACGGAATAGTTATTTACATTATAAGTGCGGGAACAGTTATTTTGCAGATGAGCGCGAATCAAGCAAATACTGTTCACGCACGTAACATGTATTCTATTTTTTGCACGGATTATAGTTAAATCGAATTTATATAAATTCAAATCCTTTTCGCGATATTTTTGCGACATTATAATTCTTTTGAAAAAATCAAGTCCTCTATGCCGATAAAGTAGAAATTTAGAAATTTAAAATGACAATTTATTGTTCAAAACTTCTGGTTTAAGCTTATTTTTGCCCGTGTACCTAGTATAGGGAATGATGTAAAGTGTATTTATATTTTCTTTTTTACTCTTCCATAATTCTACTAGTTTATGATCCGCACTAAATAGATAATTTCGTTGAATTTTTAGGCACTAGTGCGCGAAAGTAGATTTTATTTTTTTTATTTATTGTAAAATTGACGTTCCCGACGTTCGTGTCTTATTGGGAAAACGCGATTTAGAACGAAGGAGTGCAAAAAAACTTTTCCCGGCCCCTTTGATTCTTTCTGTGCGCTGAATATAAATACCCAAAATATTGCTTTAAAATACAAATTTATAGGGAAGAAAACTAATTTTCAGAAAATCTATATGCGTTGTAATGTTTCATATGTAAGTATTTTGCGTTTTAATTCGTAGATGCTTGAATATTTAGATAAACTTCTTTGAGAATTTGTGACATTTTTTGACGTTTCGTCAACCTTATCTGAAATCATTGAACTATATACTCTGTAACTGGAACGGCATCGAGCGCCAAAATCGCGTGCCGCAATGATTTTAGGCAACCAGCATAACGTATGTATTCTCATCCTTGTCTGGCACGTTGTTTTGTATTGCATATGCAGGACCGATCACACGTATTTGGTTAAAAATACAGATAAGTACATAAACTGGGAGGTTGGGGCCTTAGAAAGATAAAGATAAATGCTTTCCGATGCTTTTATAAGAGCCAATATCTATTTGTTAATGGAATATCTTAAAATATATACTTAATAATGTGGTAAACTGCGCCATTTCTCACTCACACACTCACATACTTGATTCTTGTAGTTACAAAAGTATAATGTCAACTAATGTCATTCATGGTGGCTCGACGCATTCCATTTGCTTATTAACGTAAAATATAGTATATTAAGTATGGAGAACGGTAAGGGATTTTTACCGTTCGAAGACAATTGTTTGGAGGAGGAGCGGAGCGACGACTCCAATTATTGTCTGAGAACGGTAACCCTTAACGTTCGACGTGCTTATAACATTTTTTGCGCGATCGAAATTAAAATTATCCAACCAATATAAATATGCACTAAGAAATTAACGAGCAGAATAAATCGAAATAATCGAAGTGGTATGGTGTACATCACTAGGTAACCAGTTTAAATGTCAAAATTGAAATTAATAATTTCATAAAAATGTGCATGTGTCTGATGTAGTTTACTAGCTTTGCACTTCCTTTATGATTTTATGAGCGTCTTGCTATAGGAAACAACAGCACAAATTGTACGTTTAATGTACCTAACAACAATTAAAGATTAAATGTTTTTAACTTTTTGCACGATCGGTCATTTCTGACTATTTACCATGGGTGTTTTCATGACAGTACGTAGAATTTACCAGTTGCTATGATTACGACGACGCCAAAATTACTTACCGATCTAAAAACAGAACA